AAGGAGCAGATCGATGGCGGCCAGGGACTCGTGCGTGGAGATGTCGCCGCATGAAGCCATGACCAGGTCCGGCTCTTCGCCGCGGCCGCTGCTGAATTGTGGCCAGATGCCGATGCCTTTGGTGCAGTGAATGGTGGCATCGTCCATGGACAGGTACTGCAGGTGTTCTTGCTTGTCGGCCACAATGACGTTGACGTAGTTGGACGAGCGCAGGCAGTGGTCCGTGACGGAGAGGAGGCAGTTACCGTCGGGCGGGAGGTAGATGCGGACTATCTCGGGGCTCTTATTGGCCACAACGTCGAGAAAGCCGGGGTCTTGATGGGTAAAGCCGTTATGATCTTGACGCCAGACGACGGCGGTGAGGAGGATGTTGAGAGAGGCGACCTTGTGGCGCCACTCCACTTCCAAGCATTTTTCGAGCCATTTGCAGTGCTGGAAGCCAACTGTCAGTAATAATCATGTGAAATTCAAAGAAGGAGACCATACCTGATTGACCATAGAGTCAATGACATGGATGAACGGCTCGTAACTGTTCAAGAGACCGTGACGACCGGTGAGGATGTAGCCTTCCAGCCAACCCTCACATGTGTGTTCTGAGAGCATCTCCATCACACGGCCCTCGGGGGCCAGATTACCGCCGTCCTTATCCTCTTCAAAGTACTCGCCCAGCCAGACCTTCTTTCCAGCTTCGTAAACCTTCCCGAGCTTGTTGGATTCAGTCTCGTCGGGACCAAAAAGTCGGAAGGTGGTAGGGTTCTCGGCAATGATGTCTCGGAGGAACATGGACATATTGGTCATGCTGGCGGCCATAATCGACGCCGGCTTGTCGACCTTGAGGGCATATCTGCGGAAGTCGGGCATCCTCAGGGTCTTCCTGATGGTGCCACCGTTCGCGACGGGGTTGGCACTCATCCGGCGTGTTCTAGTCGGACAGAGATCCTTGAGATCCTCGCTGATCTTTCCATCTCTAAAGATACGATCTGGCTCGTAGCTCTTCATCCACTGCTCAAGGATCTTGAGATGCTCGGGCTTCTCGTGCACATCCGTGATGGGCACCTGATGGGCACGCCAAAACCCTTCGAGAAACTTGTCGTCGATCTTGCGGGGACCGGTCCAGCCCTTGGGACTGCGAAGGATGATGACGGGCCACCTAGGCCTGAAGGCCTTGCCAGACTCTCTAGCTTTTTGCTGGAACTTCTTGATCTCCAGGACACAATGCTCCAGTGTTGCGGCCATAGCCTGGTGCATGGTGTCGACATCGTCGCCCTCAACAAAGTATGGTTCGTAGCCATAGCCGCGGAACAGATTCTCCAGCTCCTTGTGGCTGATACGGGCGAGGATCGTAGGATTGTTGATCTTGTAACCGTTTAGGTGCAAGACGGGGAGGACGGCACCGTCGGTAATGGGATTGAGGAACTTTGTGCTGTGCCATGACGTCGCCAAGGGACCGGTCTCGGCCTCGCCATCACCCACCATTGTCAGGGCGATCAGATTGGGGTGGTCGAAGACTGCGCCAAAAGCATGGGAGATGGAGTAACCTAGCTCACCACCCTCGTGGATACTGCCTGGTGTTTCAGGGGTGGCGTGCGAGCCGATTCCGCCGGGGAAGGAGAAGTGCTTGAAAAACTTCTGCATGCCCTCCTCGTCCTCCGATATTTCTGGATATACCTCGGAGTATGTACCTTCCAGGTATGCCTGCGACAGAACGGCGGGGGCACCGTGGCCGGGGCCGGATATGAAGATGGAATCGAGATCATACTTCTTGATCAAACGGTTGAAATGCATCCATGTGAAGATTTGGCCGGGTGCGGAGCCGAAGTGACCGAGCAGGCGGGCTTTGAGGTGCTTTGTGTCGAGAGGCTCCTTGAGAAGGGGGTTGTCGCGAAGATAAATCATGCCCAAGCTGAGGTATAAGCTGGCTTTGAAGAAGTCATTGAACTTGTCAATCTCTTCCTTGGTAAGAGGTTCCCCCTTGATTGTTGAGCGAGCTGGCCCGAAGGGGCTGATGCTCTCGACTTCGAGCTCGTTCGAATCACTCATACTGGGCAAGTTCCCGCTGGAGTTCTACGAACGGGAGGCTGTGTATCGTGTACCTAGTGTTGTGAGGAGGCACCCAACCAAGTGGCCAGGTGTGGTTCGGTAGTCTCGAAGAAGAAACCCGCGCACGTAGGATTGATTGTGACAATGATCGAAGGAGAGGCAGAACCATGAATGAGGCCATCCGGGAGGGCACTGTCTCTTATAGCAACCACCCTCCTGCTCCCTCTAGTATTACACAGCATGAGCCATGAGGTGTGGTGACGAGTGCTGTGCCTATACTTGGTATCTGCCTTGGCTATCTGGTTTTGCTTTTCTGCTCACGAACAGTCCCCGCCAATGCGGGATCCGTAGTGTCGAACCGGCAAACCAACCCCGTCCCTCTCACATCAATAACTGCTAAATCGGCTCTTCACGGGAAACCTTGTTAGTCCAACGGTGCGCGGACAGGTTATTGACGGTAGGGGTAGCAATGTACCGCATTGGATCACCGAACCCCATACCCAGCATCCTGGCACTCCGAGTCTGGCCAACGAACGCAACGAAAGAAGCTGAACAGTGACCGGAAGAGCTGGGAGAGGTGAGCACGGTTTGAATGGCTGAAATGGCTGGGGTCGGTCAAAGGGGAAAAGATGGGCTGATGTTGGACGATGACGGAGGGTGGGTCACCCATGCCATTGTTCGCCTTGTAACTAGTGTAGAGGGGGATGACATGACCTTTTCTGGATTTTGACAAGGCGGCATTCACGGAGGCACGGCATCGTCCAGGTCCTCCATCATCGCATGCATACTACCATACACTGCAAGCAATTCTCCAATGATTGCCAATGGCCTCGTGTTCAGCCAATCGCGTTGTCGGATTGAGCATGGTGTGGGGATATCCTTTTCTCAGACGTTCGTCTGCGTGCCCGTCTCCATGGCGGGGAGCTGTCTGCTCACTGCTCTTCTCATGTGTGCCCATGGTACGAAATAGCTTTGGCTGGGAGAGCTGTGTAGAGGTAGTCAGCTAGGTACTTACTATTGATAAGGCCATCTTGCCGTCTGTCTACCACTTTTCTTCCACCATGACTGTGCGTAACCATCCGATCGGATTGAGAATTTGAGACACGAGACGGCAGACCAACACAACCACCATCAGTCTCTTCAGACGCTAAACAGCAGGGATGAGCACGTTGATCACTCCCCTATACTCTAATATTGACGTATTCAAGATTTATAGTCGGCACCGCGATCGTCTCGTATCGACAATGTCGGGTATCGGCGCCTTATGCTTTGTGTGCCGTGGGATAAATTGGATGAACTGGGGGACAACCTTGGACCTTCTCTTGTTACTTTATAGCGGGCCACCCGGGCCGTTGCGGGGACGTCCGGGGTCCATCCAATGCCATGTTAGGCCTGTTGCGGGCAGCCGAACGCTTTTCAGGGGGCCAGCACGCACTGCACAGCGGGGTGGTGTTCGACGACAGGGGACGACGGGTAGCCGGGGCTCCCGTCCCCTCTCACCCATGCGTTAAACAGACCAGGGGCATGGCGTTGACGTCGGCGAGGTGCGATTAAACCTTCTAGCTTGACATATCGACATTGTGTACATAGTAGGTACCTTTTCAATCTCAACAGCGGAGATAGCGATTGGAAGGGAAAGCAAGAGCCACGGGGGGCAGCTATCTGGGTTAATTACATCCGTTATCACTTTATAGCTAGCATAGGATAATATAGGTAGTTTTGTTTGAGACTTGTATTCTCACCCCGCTAATGAGCTTTCTTTTTCCGAAAATTTTAGTAATCTGTGTACCTCGTAGCGAGATATGGTCGCTAACAATAACACCTCTTTACCGCACGATAACATCACGGAGCGCTACCAGGTGTATGGATAATTTGGGTAACAATTTACCCCAGCCAAGCAACGTCACGTTTCCAGGGTGCCCCCCCCCCCCCCCCCCCCCCCCCCCACACGTCCCCCGTCGGTATCAGTGGTCATCCAAGCCCGATTAAACATGAACAGGTGGTGGTTGTGTGTGGGCGGCACGATAGCATGCATCCATGTCTCTGTTATAAGACAAGACGTGCGATAAGCTTTATCTAGAGATTTGCTTCCATCCCATTATACCTATGCATTATCGACTTCCCTCATCGACTTAACCAGAAAGACGGACAAAACAGGAGAGGACAACATAAGACCTTGAATCCAGGAAAATAGAAGAAATCGTGGCAGTTACCAAACGATCAGCTGGTTTTAGTGTAAAGTACAGCATAAGACCTATTACATGTCCCTTGTTCTTCCAACCTTTCCTTTCCTTTCCTTTCCTGTCTTCGTGATTTCTCCCTACATTTCTCCCAACCTTCCCCCCTTCCCCTACATATTCTGTCGTTTTTTCAACTCACTGTTTTTGCCATTGGGTCTGCCACATCTTCTTAGACTCCCTACTACATGATCCATAACGCTACAGAAGAAAAGATTTAACTGAGAAAAGAGGTTTAACATGATTCATACAGTGAGAGTATAGAAGATTTAAGGACTAAGACACAATCGAGAAAGCGTATTGCAGGCCGACTTGAAAGTCGGACAATGTTACTGTTCCCTGGATTAACACACCCGAAACAACCTCTTGGGTTTCCAGATTCATTCATCCCTCGGTCAGCCAAGTACAAGGACCGGCAGACTCGTCACCTAACCCAGCGCACTTTGCGGTGCGGACCCGCCGAACTTATTAGAACCCTCATCTTTGGTAAAGACGAGGCAGCCAATCGTGCGTGGGTATCATCGCAGCCTCGTCGCCGGCTTTATTGTTTGATAAACAAGGAAACTCATTCGATTTCTTTTCGTTTCTGATCACCGGCCCCGCCAGTATTTCGCATCCTCCGCTTCTTTCTTTGCATTGTGCGCGAGCTTCCTCAACCCTTCAACGCATTGCCTCCTTAATCCCCCTTTCAACGCATTTGCCCAATATCCTCTGCCATCATACACCAGGTCTCGAAACCGAAGTTGTGCCTGTGTATTGCCCACCACTTCCTGATCTGTTCTCAACTCTCTCCAGTCCCATCCAGATTATTAAGTAGTACGTAGTAAGGGGTATGTAGTATGCGTAAAGATGTTGTTCAGTCCATCCCAAGCCAGGCCAGCCGAGCGGGACCAAATTCGTGGGTGTCGTTGTTCGTTCGTTCGTCCGTCCGTCCGTCCGCCGAGTCCTCTGCAGTTGCGTGATGAGAGGAAAAGTTCATAACGAGAAAAACCAGGAATAGCAAAAGCCAGACAGACATACGAGAGCTGATTAGGTACGTGGGGGGGACACCCAAGTGGATCCTACATTGAAAGCGAGAACGGCGTGATTGACGGCAAAGAATCAGGTAAGGAAACCATTCGTAAAACGACAGGAGGTATAACCAAAACGACAAACACAAAAGGAGATGGCCCAAAAGCTCGCTAACTATGTGCATATATAAACGCAACTAGAAACGACCATGATTCAGAGATGTTAGGATGACCGATAGGATGAAAGCCGGGTTGAGGTCAAAGCGTGATTGGCCCGAATAGCGCTCCAACCATGGACGAAGACCAGACTGCTCTCCGACACCCCCTTGCCCCTTTTCATCCGGCGTGGTCAGTGTTGTAGGTAGGTGGGTGTTGGGAACACTTGGAGTACTGGGAACCGCAAAACGAAAGTGGTATCAAGAGTCAGATGAAGACCGCCAAGCAAAAACGCCACCAACTCCAGGTGAGGGATATCACATCATGGGGATATCATGCCTCACCTCGCAACGGAAAAAGTAAAGCCAGACTGAGTGATGTGTCTACCACCCCTTCTTCCGGGCGAAGCGCTTATTGAGCAGCGCAAGGACCTTGGGCACGTTGAACTGCACGTACTCGAGGTCCAACTCGTCCTGGTTGTCCTTCTGCATTTCAAGGAGATCGTCGAGCTTGAGGTCCAATTCGAGCAGTCCTCGGTTCCGACCTACAGAACTGTCAGTGTTGCTCATCGTTGATGGCAGCTCAGGAGACTCACCCTTGTAATGCAGCGAGATGACAAACGTTCCCGGAAGTGGACTTGTGAAATTGAAGTAGATATTGGCCCTCCTATTGTCCGGGACATTGCTCTTTTGGATGACGCCCTCCTTTTCGAGCTGTTGATGGGTAAACTTGTACGGGCCTAGCACCTGTTGCTTCTGTTGCTTTCTGGTCTTGCCCTCGCTCTGGCTTCGTACGTTGTGAAGATAGCTCTTGTACGTGTCCAACTGGCTGACCAAGTAGGCGTTGTGGTCACGGATTGTCTTGTAAACCTCCTCAAGTTTGATAGTCTCGGACATGACGACTTCCTTGAGTGAGCCGAGATGTTGGAGTTCCTGCTCAACCTCATCTCGTAGCAATGAGAATTGGTCGCTCTTGTCGACAACCTTCAGTTCCTGCAACTGACTCAGCAGCTCCATCGCCCGGATACCTTTACGGACCATCACCGCATCGTTCTTGGACGTGGCAGCCGCGTCGGCGATGCGTTCAAGCCGCAGTGGCCTCCTGGCTACTGACGAGTTTGCCGGGATCGTTCGCAAAATCTGCACAAAAATCGACTTCGCTTCCATAAAGAAGACCTCTTCTTGGGTAATGTCCAGGGCGGCGGTCAGATCGTCAATAGCCGTTTCCCACCTACTGAATAGCGGCAAATTGATGACCCTGTTTTCCTTTCGCGGCACCTGAGGTGGAGCAGTCCCCAACTCTGACATAATGATGGCCAGATGGGAGTTCTCGTCCTTGTACAGCTCACCAGCGTGCTTTTCGAGCAATCCGTGCATAGCGTAGATTTCGTTGAGCGTAATGTCCAGCTGCAAATCCTTCTTGGAAAGGGCGACGTAGTTGTCCATCTCAAGTGTCTCGTAGAAATCTTGCACCTCGCACAGTTCGAGCATAAATCGGTTGACCTTGTCCTTATTGGCATGGATAAAAGGCTGTAGCTTGGCCATGTACGGTTCCTTGGCGTATGACGGCTTATTGGCCAGGTTCTGGAGCATTTTTGCGACGTAGGTGAGCGTCTTTCTCGGCTTGTCGGCAGGTGTGCCGTCGATGAGCATATACGACTTGGGCGTGACGATTGCTGGGTTGATGAAGCGCAGGAAGAAGAAACTGCCAATGAGCGTGCAAATTATCTGATCATTGGCATCGGGGTATTTCCTCTTTGTCAAGCTCCGAATTTGCTTGCAAATCCACCGAATTCCGTAAGGGGTTTCTTCGAGCCCATCGATGATGGTTTCCAAAAACCCATTGGCAATCTCTGTCAACATGGTCAGCCGCGGATTGATGATCTCCTGAACCTTGGGGTTCTCAGCGGCCTCTTCCTGCGTAATTCCCTTGGGGAGCATCGCCTCGGGACTCTCAGGGTCTTTCGCTTCGGCCTCTTCAATCATGCGCTCATAGACCTTGAGCGGGTTAATTTCGAGGTCCAGATCCTTGAGCTCAATCAGGCTGTTGATCCTATCAGCCAAAACCGATTTCAAAAAGCTCTGGCCTGGACCTCTCCTCGTGTATGTCGTCATCATTCTCGAGACCGGGGTGTTGGCGCGAAGAAGCGAAGAGTATTCAGGCGTATTGTCGAATTGGTAGGTCAGGACAGACTACGGCATGGTTAGCGAATTTTCCTAGGTAGCAACATAAGGAGGATCACAAGCTAACCTGAAACATGGTCAAGAGCAGATGCTCTTCACGACTCTCGTATTGATTTCCGTAGATGGTGAACATGACCGTCTGAAGCAGTGAATCAATCTCGGCCATGGTGACAAGCCTACACAAATGCGCAATGTGCCTAGGCTCCGATTGCAGCAGGAAGAGCAAATTTCCGTATTTTTGTGTCTTGTCATCGTTGGGGAAGGCGCCCTCTTGTATATCGGTTGCGTCTTCGAGGTGACTGGCGACTTCGTTTTGCTGTATTGCAGGTCAGCATGTCGTTTGCAGAAAGGAATTGCTGAGGTAGGCCTACCTCTTCCAAAGCCATGCGATTTTGGATCAGCAGGGCAATACGCGAGTCCAAGTAGCGGACATCTTTCTCAAGTACGAAATTCTTTTTGGATTGCGAGGAGATCTTGGTCTTGAGATCCCGCAGCACCTTTTGCGCTGTGGCCAGGGAATTAGTATGCGTTTTCGAGCGAGTAGGTGCACATGGACTGCTAACCTCTAGCAAGCTCATCTTCGATTATGAGATCGGAGTCATTGGCGGACATGGACATGTACAACGCCGACATGGAATACCGCTTGGACTGGCGGGTAGACCGCGAGCCCTCGTAGGAAGACATGGTGTTTTGTCGGGAGAGAGGGTGGAAGGAAGTGGTGGATCCGGTAGAAGCTCGAGAAGGTGTCTGCAACATCACAGACATTCTGGCAAATCTGGCGGGCGACGATGAGGTGTCGAGAGGGTCAGACGCGTGGCCCGGATGAAAAGGATGGCTGGATAGTGGCAACCGCGACAAATGAGTGTTGCTCTATTCTGTACTGAGGATTGATGGGTCGCGCGACTGAGGTTCGGCTCGACGTTGAGCGTGGTCCCGCTGGGACACGCTGATGGAGATTAGGGTGCCAAGAGATTGCGAAAGGAGCGACGGTCGACGTCCACAAAGGTCGCACGAAGACGGTTTCGGCAGGGAGCGAAAGCAATGGTCGTCCAGCGAGCGCCACAATATTATCCTTTCGGGAGTAACGTCGATGTAGCCGACGCAGTGGATGGAGGCAAGCGAATGTCGTGACGGATCAGTGTCAACAAAGTTCGAGAGCAATCGGGCCTCACAGTCGCTGGGTAGCGGGGAAAAGCGAGAGGCGGTCGACTTGTAGCTGGACGCGGTCCGTCGTAATTGCAAGATGGGTCTCGAGCAGAATGAGATAACGGAAGCGGGCGTCGAGGTGATTGTTGTTGCTGTAATGTGGACAAAGAGACTGAGGGACGGTTCGAAGCGCTGGGTGTTGTTGGCGTCTATAGGTGCTAGACAGATGTTAGGGGCCTGGGTCGTTTCGTGGTAGTGTAGCCCGGCCGATGGATTTCACTTGGTGCAATGCGAGGAATGGATGGGTTCGGCTGGAGGGACCGTTCGTTGGTCGGGTTCCTTTTTCGAATTGCGGGAGGGCCCCAGCGCAAAACTTCCGGTTGGGCCTCTCTTTTGGGGGGGGCGAGACCTGGCTGCTGCCCTGCTTTGACGTGCACTGAGTGCGCGCTGGGGGATGCAGCACGAATGCACAAGAATGGTGCCGCAGGAAATTTGGCGGATTTGGTGACAATGAATGTGCAAAGCGACGGATGAGATTGTGGTCAAGCCGCGCTCGAGAGGTAAAAAGAGAGACCGCCTCGATCGGTCTGAGGAGACCAAGAGAGGTTGACCTGAGTGGAAGGTGAAACTGTGGAGAGGGAAAAGAGGGGGAAGAAACGCGTGGGTGGGAACTTTGCTTGAAGCGAAAAATCGCAGCTGCAGTGGTTGCAGTGAGGTGTTGCCGTGCCCTGGTGGTGGGTGCAGTGCTCGATACGACAAGATACGGTATAGTCTTGTGGAGTCTAGCCGGCCAGGGACCTGGCGATATTTTGGGTTTGGCTTCGTTCTGCTAGGTAAGGGGGCGCCTGCGTCCGTAGGTAGAGGTCGTGTACACTAGCTGTGTAGGTAAATTACCGCGTCATCACGCAGTGGAGGCTAAGCCAGAGAGGGATACCTAGAGATAAAACCGCAGCTAAATCCGTCAAGATAACCTCTTTAGTTTCAAAAGGAGCGTGGTTGAGCTGGTACGAAACAAAAGGAGATGATGTCTTGTGTCTCGAGCTGAGTGCCGAACCAAGCACGCTAGAAAGATCCAATACCTACCCAAAGAGAATCGGCGGTCCGTCTCAGAGTCAAAACAGCTCGAATGAACAAGTGCAATTGTCGATGATTGTAGTCCATGGTGGAGCAGGGGACCGGAAAAGGAAAGGATCCAACAGTGAGAAGGGTTCAAACTTCAAAAGGGTCCGTCTGGGCTAGGTATCGCCCACCACCTCCAGGTCGACATTACAGTCCAAGGGGTTCACCATGTATTCCGATATTGCACCTCCATGTCGCTGAAACAATGAGAAGGAGACGGGAAGCAGGGCAGGTGACGGGGATGTCTGTTGCAGATTCGCCTTTACCGGCCTCGAAATCAGGAACCAGAAACACTTGGCTCACAGGCACCCCCGTGCACAGTTCCATCGCCACTGGACGCCGACTCGAAATGTATAAAGGACCATGTTAACATGCGCAACGGGGCATTGAGTGATTTCACTCGACGAGCGAATTGGCGGCCACCTGCACCCACCACCACAGGACCAACAACAAAGATAGGAGGAGGAGGCTGTCGCATTCGACAAAGCAACCCCAAAATCAAGTCCCTCCATTCAGTTCTCAAGAAAGAAATCGCTTTGAGGTTCCATGCCCGGTGCAGGGAGGGGCAACCTACTTTCAAGCCATGTGAGAAACCGACGTCGCAGCTGGGGGGGTGTGCTGCCCCTGGGGGATGGCCTCGAAGGGGGAGACAGGCCGTCCATTGGTCAGGTACCTACATCGGATAACACGAGAGAGTGGGGCCGTTGATTGGGACGGCCGAACACCCACAGACCTTGAGGTTCACACCAACTTCTCCAATGGACCTGCATCCCGCCAGGGCAATGAAAGTGCCCACCTACTGCCCGCCCACGGCCCTAGGTGGAGGGTGCCCGCCGATGTCCATGTGTGCCCGGTACAGTAGGTGTCCTCTGTAACCTCTCCCTCCAGCCCAGTCTTCTTGCCCGATCAAGACACGCCATCGGTCCTGTCCCTTCCTCGTTTGCCCTCCATTTTCACAGCCAGATCCATCCATATGATCCTGTGCTGAAATATGCTTCCGAAAGGAGACGGAGACGGTGGACAGACCCAAGCCAGCTCAGGTAATAAGACCATCACTAGCATTTCCTTGTTTTGATGTCCGCCAGATCGACATCATTCTCCATCACGCCCCGAATCTCATTCCGTTTATCCGAAGTACATGTCTAACACATTTTGCACAATTCAACCTGCAGCGTCTGATACTCCGATACTCGGCACATCTCTGACTCAGGAAAGGAGCCGCAATCTGATCCAAATTGGCATACACATCGGTCATACACAGGCAGGTCTCGCACGAATGTTGTGCATCTCCGTCGTTGGAGACTCTTTCTCGCCAACCAATGTTCATCCTTGGCCAAAGATGAACATGGCATCATTTCTGCTCACTATCTGCGGAGAAGTCTCGTCACACGACGATGTTCCTGCAGTGCGTTGCATCGTCCATGCTCGAAACAGGCTAGCTTGAGGGGGCTCCGTTCCTGGCTAAGCCGGCAACACAAGCTTGGTTGCTTTTCCAATTTTCCTTATTTCAGCCGCCCACAATATTCTTTTGGGTTGCCTCCTCCCACCTTGTTTCTAGCCCACATCAGCCTTCTCTTTTCTTTTCTTTTTGTCACGGTTTTACCCTCCTTCGAATCACATCCCCATAATCTCCTCACAACGTGGTGCATCCCACCGTTCAGATCCAGCAGCCTGGAGCACGTATCGGGTAACCTTACCGGGTGCAATATGTATCACACAAGCATGACGTTTGAACTGGGCAACCCCCGTTATGCACAACAGCAAATTGCCCCAGGCGATCACGGCAGCATTCTCTGCTTATGGCAGCTGCGGGATCGACAACAAATCCTTCAAGGGCGACACAAAAACGAACATGAAACCCCCTGTTGACAGTTGATATGTGTGTGTGTGTGTGTGTGTGTGACACAGCTTCTTCAATAAGGTTGACTCCTTGAATGCGGTCGGTCACTAACGTTGTAACTTGACCTTATCCTGTCTGTTCTTTCCATCAGTAAAGCATCCATGAACACGATTGATGAAGAAAAAAAAGACAAAAAGACAAACAGTGTCAAAAAGACCAGCGAGACAATCCAGAGCACAGTCAACATATCCATTTTTTCAGATCCTCCCAATGGGTTCGTTACCCGAACAGCGTCCAAAATCTGCTCGCCCCCTGTTCCCGCAAACCCGCCCAGCCCAGGGTCTACGGTACCAAACATGCAGACAACGATCTCCCCCAGGCCTACAGGCCACGAGCATTCTGACATGATGATGATGAGGATAGGATCAGAAGGTGACCAGAGCTTTCCTTACTTTACATGGGTTGCCCGATTTTTTTCTTGTCCGTTTTCTCTTCACACTCCAATCCTGGTACCTACCCTCGAGCTACTTATGTAACCAGCCCGTTGGCCCAGCCGGTAACAAGCTATTCGTGCCTGATAAGGCGTTAAGCGATTGACGATTGTCCCTGGAAAATCCCAAAGATACCTGACCTCTACCATAGCTACCATAATGAACGTACCTGGCTAGCTAGCTTGCCCGTATGGCTTGCAGGGATGTCTACTGCATCGTTTGGCCTGTCGTGCGTGCTTGTCTCAGTATCACAAGATTGGCTGCAATCCGCGCTCTTGGTTACACAACTCGCTCAAACAAAGCATTTGGATAATTTCGCAACGGCATTTGGGATACAATATTTGTAGACGAGATACAGCGCCCGCCGTAATGACTGGATTGGCGGAGCTGCACTCTTGAGACATTGTTGTGCCTTCCGTGCCTGCAACAAATACCTAGGTTTAAGCATTGTGAGATCAATGTATGTCTGTCACCTCCTCCGTCGGTCGAGCGGAGCAACCTGCGAGCCTCACTAGTGGATGAGTGGGCGGGCCGAGTAAGATGAAGGGCTCCGTCAACGACAAATAGAATAGTGGGAACGCAGCATGTGAAGGAGGACCCCGAATACGTGGGCACAAGCACAAACAACGAATAACCATGCTGGATATGCAAAACTGTCATCTCAGCACTGTAAAGTCCCTATAGAAGACAGCGCCTGAAAAAAAAGAAGAGGTCTGAGCACTGAGATAACAAAACTGTCTGGACGTTGATGCGCAACGAGATTGCAACCGCTCCAAGGCCATTAGATACAAGAGAAAAGATACCATAAAATTTGAGAGAATGCCAGAAAAGGAGCACTGGAAAGATGTTGGGATTATCTCAGACCCCCAAAACAATTGTTTTTGAAAAAAAAAGGCAAAATGAAAAAAGAAAAAGTGTGGAAAAAGAAAAAATATGGACAAAGAAATGCGCCAGCCGCGAATCGAACGCGGGGCCCATCGATGGCAACGATGGATTTTACCACTAAACCACTGGCGCTAGTTTCAATGGTTACTCACTGCCAGATTCAGAGCCTTATACGTGTAGTATGCAAATGTTACGTTAGTTGAAAGTAGTGTTGGTCAATTTATGCATCGACATCTGATTCCCAAGAAAGATGAAAGAAGCCCTTCTCAACACCTTAGCCTCCAGCCTGAATGCAATATTTGACAAGTGTTCAAATAATTTCTTCAAAGTGTTTAGTCAAGGCAATATATCACCGAGTGTCTATCGAGTGCCCTTGGAGGGGGAGTGGAAGTGTAACAACGAAAAGAAACGGAGGAGGAAATGACATGCCTCTTTTTCCCTGGACAAGAGTCGGGGAACAGTTGTCTCGGATGACATAAGACTGTCCGTCAACGGCATTGTTTCCGAAGTAGCAACATCCCAATCGCCAGTTCCACATCCCCGAGTTTTGTCAAGTCCCGCGTCCCAAACAGATGTTCATGAACAGCACATATTAAAGCCAAACAGCCAATGTAGTCGAATACGCTTTGAAAAGACCACCACAAATGAACAGCCACGTATTGGAATAAAGAGGCTACAAACCAAAGCTTTACACAATTCTCTCTTTACCTTCCTTGTTCATGTCCTCGGCAGTTTACCGAGAGAACAAGGGACCTAAGCGCCAAACAAGAACACATGAACAACGGGATTGTTAACACTTGGGTTTTGAAAGTCCAAGAGACAAGATGCATACATATACTCCGGTCCGGAACCCCTGAACCGAACTCCCATTCAATCAGTAACACATTGTTAAATTATCACCAGCAAACAGCAACTCGAGTAACTTTTCAAAACATACTACCGACCCAACCACTGCCCACCATGCCCACCATAAGCACCGAAGCCAACCTCGACCTCCTCCACTCTATCTACAATGTCCCCTCCTTCTCGCTAATCCTCCGCCACTTCCGCGACACCTGTCCCCGCTCCACTTACGTCTGTCATGCTTGTCGAAGTGTCATCCTCCACAAGTTGGTCCTCGGCGCCTCCCATCCTTCCCTGTGCAACAAGCTGGGCCTCATCCCCTTATTCAAAATGCTGCAAGAAGAAGGACTAACCGCCTCCAGCAACTATGGCCTCGACAAGTCTGATCGCAGAGTACCCAAGCCCGAAGCCATTGATTACATGACAGCACTTGGCCCACCAGAAGTATGGCATAAGGTGTTGACCGCTGGATGGGGGGGTTTTTTGGTCAACTATCTTGTCGTCCAAAAAGGTCCGGGATACTCAACTGAAGAGCTGGAGGACATGGGAAGGAAAGAGCTAGGCAGCCTGATGAGCAAGCTTATCTTTCTCTGCAGCGGAACGTACACCGTCCTGGACCTGTTCCACAACCGCAGATTTGACCAGTTTGCCGAGTGGACAGCTGAATTACTGGCAAACCTTGAGTGCCCAACCGGTGCGTGCAAGGCATTGCAGTGGCAGGAGCTGGCGGGCAGGAACCGGCACGGGGTGTCGGGATCCGTCAAGTCGCTGGACGGCGAGGACGCCATTGTTTTTGCGAAAATCGTCTTGTTTTCGGTCAGATCGCTGTTGGACCCTCAAATTCGTAATGTTATCGACAAACACCCCGGTCTGGTACCGCATCTCGAGAAGGACTTTGATCCGAGAGTGGTGATGCCGTCGGCGGCGAGGAGGTACGCATGGAGGCCTCAACGACTCGTTGAGATGGCCGTTAGAGATGCTAGTGGATTATTCGATGAGGCCAGGGAGAAGGGGTACTTTGATATTTTGATCGAGGAGGGTAGGGAGAGATGGAGAGCGGCGAAGAATTTGGCGAAGAAGGAAGAGGAGGAGGAGGCTTACGAACCCTACTACTAGTAGGTGGACCTCCTTTCTTACACGGCTTTTTCCACAAATTGTTTCTTTGTGTCACCTTTTGGTTTCGGCTTGCAATTTTTGGTTTCTTGATTTTATGTCCAAGTTTCTTTGATGGTAGAGGTAAGTAAGTGCGAGAATTCACCATTTGAAGGGGTCGCTTCCATGTCGGGAGTTGTCGATAGGTAGAGAGAGATAGTGATAATACTATAATGGTCACCTGGAGAAATTATGGTGCGTTTGAAAGATTTTTGATTGCAACTGAGATATGTCAATCAATCAACGATGAAGTGTGATGCACTGCAATTGCGGGTGAATGGGCGGTAGGTACCTCTACCTAGATCCTTATATGGCGAGATTGTACGACTGGAACTGCTGCGTTCCACCGGCTTAGGAAGGAAGGGAGCTGCCGAGCCCCGCAAAGCAGCCACCTGCCTTACAATCTCGGCAAAGGGAAGCCCAAGACGTCTACAAACTGTTGAAAGAACATGGGACAAACCCATTGGCACCTTATATTCATGACCGACCAACTCCCACGGATGCTCGACATACTCGGTCCGTGTTCGTTCCGGCAGTAGTACGGTAACGGAAGCATTTTTTTGGTGGCAGAAAAGCTTTGGGTTAGGGTTAGAAGAGATCCCCTTACTGCACTACTGCCACAACGAACACGGCCTCGGCAAGTAAAACATCAAAATCACTTACTTTGTCGAGTCATGGAGCCTCGCCGTCTATTCCAAGGTCTTCAAGAACATTATCGCTCGAGGTCACAACGAAGGTTGCTTGGCATGGCTGCCAACATGAGCCACGGGTTTCACTTCCACCTGAGGAGATACGCGATAAACTTGACAAGAGCTTTGAGATGGCTGAGGTGCTGGTGATAAAGTACGTCGTGTTCAGACCGCCTGGGAAGAAATGGGAAAGCGTATGTCGTGGGATCTGATGGATGAGAGGGGTTTGAAGTATATCTCACCAGTGTATCGTGAATTTAGGTCGTTCTCTCACCTCAATGATATTATCGTACTGCCCTTGGAGTGGCCCGAGATAGACGCCTCCTACTATTTAGAAAAGCTTGTCAATAAAAGATCGGCCTATGGAAGGCTGAAAGCGGTCATGCCGCCCGAATATATCAAGGAACACTTAATACATAGGTAAAACTGATCTTGCGTTGAAATAGGATGACTTTCTTTCAATTCTATTTCACCCGCTCTTTGAAACTAGCGGGGAGAAGCTTGCGGCTTTTGAGGATGTGCCCAAACGCATTGCGAATAATGCGGACCATCTTCCGTGGCCCATGTCGAGACGTTGCGGCAGTGGGATGAGAATGAGGACGGAAGACAGGTCAGATGCCCAAAGGAGTGCGCCGCGGCAATACGATCACCTCGTCTTACCCTCGGCCCACTTAAGTCGTTCGATATTATTACCAAGAAAATGAATGGACTTTCACCCTGTTGGTCAGCGTCAGCCATTACCTGGGGTAGGAATATCATCCCTGCTTCCCCCGGCCTAGGTGCCTTGATCAAGTCTATCTACATTCTGTCTCCTCAGTTGCCACATCCTTCCTCCACAACCGTTGCTTTCAGTCTTGTTCACAACTTCCTCGTCTTTCTGCAGCGAAGCTCACCACAAGATTTACCCAAACCCACTGCTAACACCCCCCCCATCAACAACCAACGATGGCGTCCCGCGCTTTCTTCGACCCCCTCACTCTCCTCCGTCTCGCCCCCGCCATCAGCAGCACCGCATCCTTAACTCTAGCCTGGGACCAGCACTGGATGCTGCGCATCTTCACCCTTCCCGAACTCGAGCTCGACAGCAACCTGTATCTGCCCAAATGGTTCCACGCCTTCTTCCGCGCCGGCTTACCGAGCGTCCTGGCTTTTCTCTCAGTTACCATGACGACAGCGACGCTCAATCTCCGTTCAGAGAGTCTCTTGCTCAAGCGAAGAGGTTCGTACTACTGGTACGCGGCCGGGGCAGCGCTTGCGGCGGGACATCTGCTTTTTGTTCCGGCTGTGGCGCCGAGGATTCAGGCTATTGTTGAGGATGAGACCAAAGAGAAATCGGTGGGAGAGTTGAGAAGGTGGTTGAGAGTCAATGGTATCCGTGGGTTGACTACTGATTTGGGGGCTTGGGTGTGCTGTGTTGTTGCTGTGGTTAGGACTTTCAGTGTGTGAAAGAGCGTCCGAAAGCACCACGCAAAGGGGGGGTTGCCGTCGGTCGCAAAGGCATTTGTGGTTGTGGTCTTTGTTTGTCGCCGATGGCTCTTGTTCGAGGACCGAAGTAATTCGTTCCACTTGTCATTGACAATTCCCTTGTCTATGCCATAATTCGGAATTCGTCAATGAGAGCCCTCCACATTCGGTTTCTGCACAAAGAGAGAAGGCTTGCCTTACCTACTCATTGTTCAAGTACCGAAACGGCTTACACTTCATCACCGGAATCCTTTCATCGAGTCGTAAATTTAGAAGAACAATGAAATGCGATCATGAGGACTCGGACTTCTTTGCTGAACAGAGCCACAGAGCGGAGAAGAACAAGAGTGAGGGAAAAAGTATAAGATCGGGACGGGTTGAGCAGCTGTTCACCGTTCAGTTCAACAATAGCCAAACTTCAACATTCGAGAAGAGAGAAACCAAGAAAAGTAAAGTCACCACCAAGAACGAAGCCAAGATCGCAACCCACCTCCAATAGTTACCTACCCACACTAGAACAAAAAGAGGGACCAATAGAAAGGAAAGAAAAAAGACCAAAATGCCACCAAAGAAGACCAACGCAAGGAACAGGGTCACCAAGGGCGGCCGTCTCGGCCACGGCCCCAAATGGACCCCCTTCAAAGCCTGGAACGCCTCCCGCACCGCCCGCGAGACCATCCCCGGCGCAATCTGCAAGCAAGTCGACTCTTTCTACGCCGACCCGCGTCGGTGGAACGCCGCCGGCCGTCCGCAGCGCCCGCGTCTCTCCACGCTCCCCAAAACAGAAGCCGAGAACGAGTCCGAGTGCATCGCGGACCGCGCGCGCGCGGCGCTTGCCGAGCCCATCGACGCTCCGGAGGTGAAGTACTGCTATACCTGCTTCGAGTGCGGGCGGAATCCGGATGATCCGGAGTGCAGTGTGCAGTGTTATGACGAGCTTCACAGCGGTGGCGGTAGCAAAAACGGCATGAAGACCTTTTTCAAGAAGTGGCTCGAGATCCGACACACGGGCACCGCCGAAAAGGGGTACGGCGTGTTCGTCAAGACGAACGGTCGTTACGAGATCCCCAAGGGGGCGTACTTGGGTCATTACGTCGGCGAGATCATTCCTGGGCCGACGAAGGGGTATAATGCCAACAACAAGTACCTTTATGAGCCGCAGGTTGGGCTGGAGTGGGACACTGACCGGCCCATCATTGATGCGGGCAAGATGGGGAATTGGACAAGGTTCATGAATTCGAGCTGCGATCCCAATGTGAGCGAGTCGATTATGCAAATTGGCAAGGTTAGGGTGATTGCGTTCTTTGCGAACAAGACGTTGAAGTCCGGGGACGAGCTCTGTATTTATTATGGGGATGATTATTTCAGGGGTCATGGTCTGTTGTGTACTTGTGACAACTTTGAGGGATCGCATGATCCGACGGCCGTTGAAGCGGGACTCAAGGCGAGGGAGCGGCATCAGCAGGCTCTGGCTCTGCAATCTTGATTGATTGAACCCTTGGCTTGGCTCACACCGTAGTAGGTAGTTAGATAACTGTCTTTGGCCTGGCGCTGTAGGATACCCGATGCATATAGACCTGCTTTTGATCTTTGGATATATAAATCTTATCTTAAACCTGATCGTTATCTGACACATGTGACTAAACTCCCATTAGCCAACGTCGCTCTCCATCTCTGCGAAGATGGGTATGGGAAAGGCGATGTAGACGAACTTCGTACCACAATCTTTTTCAAACCATTCTCTTAATCATCCCATAGGGTATCATATCAATCGACTCTTAGCACCTTCTTTATCAACAAAACAAGAGTCCTCTTACCAAGCAGCCTCCATTCGTTTACTCCACCTTTATGCCGACACCTCCTTCTTCTCAAACTTCTTATTCCCTGCAAACCCCTTGGCCTTTTTCGGATCAAAGTTCTTTCCCAGGTATCCCTTAGGTTTCTTCTCGGCCTCCTCCTTTTCCTTGTCCTCCCTCTTCTTGGGTGCCGCCGCTACTCTCGCCGTCTCGGGGTCCGTCTCCTTCGCCCACCTGACCCAGTCATGGCGTCTGTGGCTCCACAGGTCACCCTTCCACGTCCGCCAAACGTTGCGTCCCAGCCACGTCTCCCTGAGATCACGTTCGTATTGCGCGAGTTGCGAGATGATGTTCTCCTTCATGTGGAAGGGGACCGCAGGCGCGTTAGGCTCGGCCGGCTTGGATGGCAGAGTGATGATTGCGTTGAGGATGGCAGAACCGTGCTGCGATGTGGCGAGCTCGTATACGTGCGGAAGAAGGGACGACACGAGGACCTTGTGGAAGGTCGGGGTTATGGCGGGTGTCTGAAGAGCCTTGATGAGGATTGAAGAGGTGTTATGCGAGGTGGTGGCCATCTTCATAACCTGTGCCGGCTTAAGGGCAGCAAGTGACGATTGAATGGCCTTTGAGGGTTGCCCGGGAATGGCTAGCAGGGCGGCGACGAGTTGCGAGCCATGGTTGAGCATAAATGCCTTGTTCTTGGCTTCTTGGGTTTGGAACTTGGGCTGCTGCTTCTCCTTCTTTTCCTGTGCTTCTTCCTCTCCTACTTCCTCGGTCGACTGTGGCTTTTGCTCCTCCTCGCTGACCTCCTCGTCGAGCATGCAGAGCTTGGGCACGAGGTTCTTCCAATCGTTACCGTAAGCAGATGTAAGAGCCTTGAGAAGGGAGTTGATCTCATCAGTGCCGTTACGGACGTTGCAGCGCTCGAAAAGGGTTTTGATAACGTTGAAACGTCCCTTGTCGACGAAGCTCGCCATCTCAGGCAAGGACTTCTCAACGGCGTCGGCGAGATCTTCTCTGCTCAGGCGGTTGAGAACCCTGATGGCGGGGTAGCAGGCGATATCGTTGCGAAGCAGACTCTGGATACGAGGGCCGAAGATGTGTTGCTGAAGACCCTTGAAAATCTTACCAGGGCAGTGGGTGATGAGTGTTTCGAGAAGTCGCGAACCAATTGGGTCGTAGATCATAGAGTTGACGAACTCGGCGGCTTGGGTGGTGTTATCGGCAAATGCGGCGGGCGCGTCGGGCACAAGCATGCCCAAAAGTGTGATTTCGGACTGTGTCTCCTCCTTCTTCGTCTCCGCCTCGTCATCGTCCTTCTTCTGCTTCTTCTCTTTCTTCTCCTTGTTCTTTCCAAACATGGTCAACTCCAGCTCCAATAAGAGCTGCAGTGTCGGGTTACCGGTGGGATGCTTCGCCAGCACCCTCAATGCCGTGGCATCCATTGTCGCTGTGGAATCGTCAATGATCTTCTTGATCGCCATCGTAAAGGACGACGGAACCGCTCTGATCTGGGAGCTCAATTCGCTCGCATTTGCCGCAGCACCTTCCACCGTGATGTACTCCTTCTTCCTGCTCTGCAACAGACTCTTTGTGCCGGCCTGATCCAGCGGCCTTCCGGACAGGATAACCAGCAGCGCGCGCATAGCGTGCGAGCCGTACCTATCGCTGAGCAAAAATCCCAAATGTTCCTCCAACTCGTCCAGCGTCAGCAGGAAGAGATCTTCCATTGACGACTTCATGGCCTCCGTCTCCTCTTCGCCCTCCGGGAGGGGCTCCTGCTCGTACTCGCCGCTCAGCTCCTGGGTAACGACGGGCGCTGACTGCAGAAATAGCTTTTCGCAACAATGACTGGCAAAGCGATGGGTGACGAGCGAAATGAAATGGCCGCCAAACGCGTCAAACAGGCTCTTCTTTTGGCGGGTGTTGGACAGCAGGATGAGGCGTTCCATAAGCCGCGAGCAAGATTGACTGCTGGCCAGCTTGAGCTCCTTGCCGCGCATCTCCTTGTAAACGTTCTGCAGAAATATGTCACGCTCCTCAGCGGAGGGGAAGTCGTTCAGCTCGAGCAATTCGTCGGCGTGGCGGAAGTATTCTTGCTCCTCTTCGGCGAGCATGCCGAAGAACTCGCGCTCGAAGTTGGTGTTGGGGCCACGACGGCCCTCGGGGGCGCTGGAAAAAGCATTCTCGTCGTAGATACCGTCCAGAGGAGGAGGAACGTAATCGGCGGCAGCGGGAGCGAGGGCCTCCTGCTGGGCCTCTTCGCGGCGTTGCTTCTTGATGTCTCTTTCTTCTTCGTGTTCGATTTCTCTTTCTCTCTTCTTGGCGCGCTTCTCGTCGCGCACCAATTGGCGTTTTGACTTTCTGTTCTTGCCCATGTTGCCGGTCTCTCGGTCGATCGGTGGCGTGGACTGGTGTGAAGAGGGGTGAGGTTAAGCGTGGATGGGCGAGGCGAACGATTGTTGCTGGATGAACTTGTTGAAATCCAAATAAAAAGTTTCGTTATCTTATCGCCGAACGAGCACCTTGGGAGCTTCCACTGGGCTGTTCCCCACTCTGATATGATCAATAGGCTGGGAACACCAAGCTAAATACCCGAGATAGGATGGCAGCGGCCAGGGGTTATGCTAAACGAGGCCCTAACCCTGGAGTGTAAACCATTACCAAGTCATTAATGGTCCAGATGAAAGTGATCAATCATGGCTTGATAACAACAGCAGAGATAGTGTAATCATTGAAGGGCAGCTCTACGGTCAAGTATTCCACGGGATTCTATCAAAGCCCGCTCAAAGCCCACCCACGACACCCATCCCACAATGCATAGAGGTATCTTGTCTCGCCAACCGTTAACATGTAAAACAAGTCCACCACCTCGAACCATCCAGTGAAGTAGACGCCCAGGGCAACGATTTGAACGCGATCAACGCTGCTCAAAGGAGAGGATCATAAAGCCGACACAAAGTTAAAGGGAGAAAACAAAAAGCTCGACTGGTGTTGAGCTCGGGACCAACCACATGCCCATCTTCTAGCTACCTGCATACCTACCACGTATGTCTAGGCCACTGGGAGTTGTTGGAAGCTTTGAACTCGGGGTTCATATGGTCTTGGGCAGTGAAGCTCCTGCCTGCCACCGGAATGATGAGGCCCGGTGTCAATGTGTTCCCTTGGAGCTTGGTGCGGTGGGGCTCGCTCCTTCCCACCGCAGGGCATCTTCACTAGGTCCCCGCCGTCACTTGCCTCTGCTCTGCTGCCGCCCAGCATGACCTTCTACAGCCAAGGTAATCACTGCCCAAGATAACCTGGACTGCCATCACCGCGCACTAAACCGTCGCAGTCCTCATCGGCGGCGTATCATTCGGGCTCTTCCCGTTCCGGTACTGCCACAACCTACTCAGATCCTTCACTTTCACCTTGGCCGGCTTGCTCTCGCGCCTCGTCCTCACCCGTCTTCGGTGTTCCACCGGACTATGACCGCCGTAGACCGCAATCCCTCCCACGGCCTCATCGCCATTCCCTTCACCACCGCCGCCAACGATGCCGTTCGTAATCCCATTAGCAAGCCAACTAATCTCCATCGCCTCCTTGGCAGCCGTCATCTCACTCCCCGCCTCCCCGACCGTGATCTCGCTCTCCATGAACTCATTCCCCGTTTCCGCGCATCCCAAAAAGGCGCCCGTCTTCGGGTCTTTTTCGAGAGGGAACATGCCGTCCAGGTAATGCTGACACAGCTGGTGGCCGCCGCGGGTGGTGGTGCGGGCAAAGACGCGGCCGATGAAGCGCGGCATAGTGTGTTGCCCCGGTATGGAGGTGGCGAAGTGCAGGATCCCCCAGAGGGCAACAAAGTCGGTCGTGTGCGCGTAGTGCTCGATGTGGCCGATGGCGCGGCCGGAGACGGCTGAGGGGGTGATGGCGCTGGTTTCGGAGGTGAGGGAGGGGATACTGGGTGCTACCCAGGAGGAGGAGGAGGAGCAAGACTCCTCGCCCTTGGTGGTGGTGGTGCTGGCGGTGTCGGGTGCGGCCGCGGTTGCGGGAGTGGTACCCGTGGTTGTGGCCCTCTGCTGTGGGGATGTTTCGGTCAGGCATTGGTTGTTGGACAGGGTTGCCTGGGCTTGCTCGGTGTTTCCACTTCCCGCTGCCGTGTTGGTGGAGTCGGTGGATGCCGCCAGAGGGTTGTTGATGGCACTTCGTTGGGACTGAATGTTTCGATGCGGGTTGTTGAAGTGGTTGGCGGCGTTTCCGAACGTATAGACTTCGAGCTTCGCCAACAGGTTCTGTGGGAGCTCTTGAAGAAGCCAGTCAATGATCATGCTTCCCTCGATGGCGCCCTGGGAATGCAGAATGAAGATGACCTTGGAGTACTGTGGGTTGTAGAGCTTCTCCTTGATGATCCGGTAGCAGATACGCACGTCTGCTGTGGCGTAGCCGAGGTTGCGTTGGACAAGACATTCGATTACATCGAATAGGATACCGGCACTGGATCGGTAAGCTTAGCATGTCTCAAAGTGTTTCCAAGAGCGTTGGACTCACGTTTTGTTGTGTATCCCGAGGATGGGGCGCTTGAATGTTATGGCTAGTCGGTTAAGGTTACTCTGCATCCAATGCTCTCTAAGCCTCTTGTCAGCTCAGCTCGCTCAGGAACCGTGGGGAATCGTAAGACCAGGTCTCAGCCAGTGACTTACCCTACTGCCACACCGTTGATGAAGATCCATTGTTCATGGGCATGCTCAGGAAGAGCTGGTGCGTACTTTGGATCGGAATGGTATTCGACGTCCTTCCCGTTCAGAAAAGTACAAAGCCCATGATTGACGAGTATAAACAGTCCGATTGCCAAGGCAGCAGTCCAGACTGGGAACAGAATTAGTGTTGGAAGTGTCACGATGAACCCAAGCTGCAACACCACGAGGATTGCGTGAAGACCAACACAGAACAGGTTTCCGCGCGTAATAGATAGCTCGTCCAGGTCTCCTGAATCCGAGGGTGATAAGGGGATCAGGACGTAGGGAAGAGCCCAGATGAACTTGAAGAAATAATAAATATCAAAGGCCATCAACTTCAACGGTCGATCCGTATAGCTGTAGTTGATGACCGACTGCTCCCCGATCTGAGAGCCAAAGAACTTTGTGTTGTTGGGGCTAGGCGTCTCCGCCTTTCGCCATTTGGACGCCATGAATGCGAGCGAGGCAAATATGGCCACGATGGTAAAGCCAGATAAGACGAGAAGAGTTGGCATCGTCAGTGAGGACTCAAGGGGCCATATAAGAAGGGAATTCTGTGAAACTAGCACAGCCTTTTAATGGTTACACCAACTCCGAGTCAACTCCAGTCCGGCGATATCCAGTTCTAGCAAGTCAGGCCGGTGTCGACAGGGTATTTAAGAACTGGGATCTGACCGAGGCCAAGTTGGGCTTGTTTCGGCAACTTGGCGCCCAATTGGTTGCCTTCCGGTTCCCGCCCGTCTTACGGGACCAACAACGGTGATGATTGATGAAACCAAGCCCCAAGTTGGCTAAAGAGTCAACAAATTATCCCCGTTGGGACGTCAGATGCCCTCCTTTCACTGCCCCGAAGTTTTTGATGGTTGGTCGGAATTGACGCCGGCCAAGAAAAGACGCATCAGCCGTGCTGTAGGGCTGATCCACCAGACCCCCAAGCCTCCCCACTTGACGTTCTCATGGCGCCATCTGATAGGAAATTCGTCTCGTAAAGGCATCAAGGTGCGCTGCACAGCTGGCCATGTTTCCAAGATGTTGTTGTCAGATACTGACCATAACGCCAAACACCCCAAAACCACAGAGCTCCGCATAGGTGACGGAGTACATAATGGCACGTTAGCCCCCCAGTCGCGGATCTCAACCCAACTCAGCCGTGTCGGCTTATGTGGATTTTGGAGGGAGGAGTTGGGGGGAGCAAGCGTCAGAAGTTGAAAGCAGGTACCCGTAAGCGAAGCTGCTAATCCGTGCCTTGCCGTGCCGTCTTGCTTTGCTTACTTCCCACCTACCAGTAGATGTTGGTTTTTGCACATAACAAATTCATTTCGAATTGATTCTTTGTTGGTCCGTGGACAAGGAAAAGAGCAACGAAGATGGAAAGATGAAGGTAGGTCATCATTGGACTTTGCAGGTCACATGAGTCGGTAAAACTCTTGTGGTCAGTGCGTTGTGCTGTCAATGCTCTGGCTTGGCTTAGGGTTAGATATGGAGTGATAGAATGAACGATAACTATTGCGCCGTCGGACAGAGAATCTTGCTGCTGGGAAACACCAGAAAAAGAAATGTTGGGACAAACGAAATGGCCTTGATAAGTCCTACTCTCGAAAAAGTATTTCGATGGAACATAAGTAGTTGGTATAAGTACACCCAGCGCCACTCCGCACCTGTTATACCAAGTTACACGAATCATACGAGTCACGAGTACCCGTGCCATCTATCTACTTCCCTCATTGCTTTGCTATTGTCCCGTGAGCCCGTCAACAACCCTTCGCTGTCGCCGTCGTCCCAATGATGAGTTGCTACCAATGTAGGAATGCTGAGACTGCGTGCATGAGCTAATTCATAATAATCATGGTAATCATCATCAGTATTCCTTCCGTTCGCATCAATGTGAGTCTCTGAAGTATTTGGGCCAACCACGCCAGTCTCGGTCACCCAGCTCCGAGCCCTGTGTAACTCGGCCGGTCTGGTGGGCACGCCGCTTTGAACCGACCCGGACGCAACAACTATGCCGGAGCGCTCCGTTACGCTTCCGGACGGACGAGTCCCCCACCCAAACTCGGCGCCGATTGCCTGGTCTATCCGGGATTTTAACGCCTCGGGTGTTGGCGACGGTTGTCTGATCTTCTTTCCGCTAAATATGTTGACAGTGTAGCCTAGATTCTGCTCATTGCCGGGGTGGCTGTAGCCTGCTGATTTGTTATAGGCCAAATCATAGGCTTCGAGCTTGAGGAGGCGACGATACGTGTAGAAAGCGTAGAAGAGCATCACAAGTGTTATGCCACTGCATCAAAAGTTAGCTTGGCAGTCATTATGTTGAAGGTATTTAGTTTGATCTTACAGCAGGATGCAATCCAAAGCCAAGCCCACTGTGGAGTAGTGGTGGTCTGGATATTTGACGTAGACGGTGGCATCTAAGCCTAGCATTCCGCTGGCAAGTGTGTATTTGATAAGATGTGTACACAGCATGAAGAAAGGGGTCAAGGTCTCAGACCTCGCCTTCCATATTTCCGCGATTGTGAGAGCTACGGAACTAATTGAAAACCCAACCTGGGTGGATTCCCAACTAATAGAATGTCTTTGTGTTAGTGCTCCGTTTATTTGGTGAAGAGAGTTTGGTAGATTGTGAGGAGCTGTTGCGCTGACATACACTATCTGAACTATAATTTCCTGGTCATGCGATATCTCGTCGTCAAAGGTGCGAGAGGTCACAGAAAGCCGGTAGGAGAATAGGCCAACTAGGCTGAGAAGGGCCCCAACCTGTATCATCCAGCATGGAGCGAGAAACCGAATGCGCCATTCGGCGCGTGCGAAGAGCACCTGATCCAGATTGAGAGTCATGCTAGAATCTTGTCGTTTGGTGCAGGTAAGGCGCCGCAAAGATGAATAGGCGTCGTTGAGTGACAAAGGCGCCTGGCTGGAGTCATCGAGCGTTGTTCCTCCTGAGCATAAGTCGCGTATCCTTTCCCATGGATGCCGGTCACTCCGCTCCAAGATCCCCGGCAACTAATCCCAGTGTTGCGGCGAATATCGGTATGGTAGAACGAGATTGGAAAACGAATGTTGACAGCAAAGGTCTTGCCTTAGCGGATCCGCCGGTAGAAGCGGAGGGGAGATATTTATCGGAATTGGGAACGCTTCGGCATTTGATCCGTAGCTTTTTGTAGCTCAGCGCCCGGCAACCCAACGAGAAGAGGCTGAGAAGTGGATTCCTGTAGGATTCAGAAGGGAAGCGCAGAGGTCCACTGGCTCATGGCGACAAGCGCCCGTTTGTCTCTGGTTTCGTTGTCTCAGGAGGAAGCATGGGCTGGGTTGTATTCTAGTGAAGCTAGATTTAGGCGGAGGCTGTTTCGCGGCCGCTCCATGGCAAGAAGCAAGGAACAGAAAGATCGATCGAAGCCACACACTGTCTTGATTGGGCTTGTGAAAGTGCATGCATACCCAAGTGGGCTAAACAGCATGAGCTAGTGAATGTTAGGTGCAGGGCTGACGATCTTGCAATTTGGTGGAGGGTGGTGGAAAGCCCCAGACGTTGACACTGGACAAACAACATGGTCACAAAACGGGCACTCTGGGAACCAACAGCGCAGCCTTCAGCGCTTGTCGCAATCCTTGCCCGTCTGGCGGCAAGATAGAACGTATGTCGCTCACCTTTCCAACATCGTGGCATACCTCATTTGAGATTGTGTCAAGATGGGAGGATGGGTGATGATTACAAGCGCAGGAAGTGGAAAAGGAAGAAGGGAGCGAAATCCATAAATAAACCAAGCGCGAGACTTGGCCCCCAGACTGACCAATGATCGGGTCGGAAAAGACCGCTGCCTGCCAGCTGCGCCTCAGCGAGGGAAGCTCAAGCTTGCGAACGAATGCCTGAAAAGGCCTGCCAGAGAAAAAGACTCGTTCCCCCTTTTTTTTTTTTTTTTTTTTTTTTTTTTTTTTTTTTTTTTTTTTTTTTTTTTTGGGGGGGGGGGGGGGGGGGGGGGGGGGAGTTTTTTTGTGAGAACAGAAATTGGTCAAATTGAGTTTCAACACCGACTCTAACAATGAACTGAAACTGTCCGCAGACTAGCACTTCGAACCCTCCAAAACGCGGCAAACGGCTTGATAGGTACTCATTGATGAACCGTTCCAAAACCCTACCCGCCGTGCATTGACCGGGACAGTGCATCATCACCGGCGTTCTCGATGATTGCATCGGCCAGCGTCTCTCTGATAGGCAGATGATGATGTCTGCCAAATCTCAGAGCCCGCAAGGGACGCCAGTTCTCACAGCGAAACGCCGAACGAGGGCAATTTCCTAGAACATCCTCTATTCCATCCTGCGGTAATCGAATGTCCTTATTACAGCCTATCTCTTACGATCCTGGGCACGCCATAGCGCTCCTCGACGTTGCCTCCCCGCCCAATAGCCTTGCTCCGTAAACACCGGGCTGCGCCCGTTTCGTTCCTGTCTCATTCCTTTGGTCTCATTGCCCGTCGGCGGCAGCAGGTTGGAATACCGAAGTGCTGCTGAATGGCACGACGTTGCCGCTCGCATCTGACATGGCAGGTACACTGGCGTCAACGTCATGCTGAAGGTTTTGACGACTCACAACCTGAGCTGCCGCTGATGTTAGTATCGTGGAAATTGCATACATGGATGCCAAACATTCGAGAAGCTTGAAACATCAGCCTGGCTTGCTCACCATTATTGTTCGGGGTTGTGGGATAAGCCATAGCCACAGAGACGAGAGCGACCATAACAGCAGAGATAAGCTTCATTGTGAAAATGGAACTGATATTGAAGAGCTTGGGAGCAGCGAGTGTTGGGCGAATGGAAAAGAGGAGGTGATAATAAAGTCGGCCGGCGACAATGGTAAATCTGGAGCGACTGAATGGAACAACACCAAGAACTCGAAGCAAACGGAGCGAATATTAGAACAAGGGCGATGAGCGAGTCAACAGCTCAGGCCAAATCTATCGACGGATATTGCCAACTATTTGTACTCTTGTGTCCAGGAACATCGTGAAGGTGTGATCAAGATCTGCTTGGTCTGGGGAACGATGTGTGTTTCAGGATACGATTCATGCACAGCACTGCCTTCGGATCGAGTATAAGGTGGAAGCCGAGTGGTTACCCACTTCCCCAGAGGCGTGTTTGAAACGCGGCAACGGTTTCTATTCACGATAACCGAGGTGTGGAATCTCTCTTCGATGGGGACGATACCAAATGGGGTACCTGGTCCGGGGCGGTTCAAAGGGCCGGCTCCGGGACGTACATGGACCGGTGGTTTGCGGAGTGGTACATATTTGGTGAGCGAACAGCCTGCCTACCGCTGCGAAGGGCCTCAAGATTTCGATTCCCTTGGCGACACCATCCAACTTGAATATTTCCGAGGTCATATTGTTGGTTGAGTTGAACCAACGTAGCTGGGCTATTCCAGAGGTGAGTCATGGGTTTCAGTCCGGTCGAGAATCTGCATCTTTCACATCTTTAGCACTCGCCTCTGGGGACGTTTATTCGGTGCTCCTGCAGCTGTCACGTATCAAAACTTAAAATGCGCACCGGAATTATCCAAGAGTTCAGATCCTGGGGAGAACCCAGCCCCAGTATTAACCCAGCCTTATACCTAGGGGCAGGGAGCTGAAACCGATGATCTGGAACTCTGGTCGGTTAAAGTGTGGCATTGGCCGGTACAGAGCCCCCTGTGGCTCGCACCTCATACCGTAATGGGCCTCTTCCGAGGTTCCGTGTTGCAGCCTGCCCTGGCTTCCCCTGTCAGAGCCTAGAACATCGATCACTACCGAGCTATCAATCGTGTCTGATATTTACGAACAGATGAACCGCGTTGAATGGGTGGCAGATATGATTCAAGAGGTTGAGACGAGCTCTCCTTGCTCAAACCGTAGCACGAAGAGGAAAAGGTCCGATGGTACAAGTATACGATGAGCGGGCGGGAAAAGGGTATGAATTTTGTAGTGCAAGTTCATCTTCTTAGCTACGTATCTTCGTATCCAGGCCAGGTGCCACCTCGGTAGATACCGGCATATGTCAAGGTAGCACAGCAGATGGCGACAATCACCAGTAACATGGCACCGCATCGGCTTCAGGAGACTGGAGACGAAGCTTACATCAACACAATCACCGAATTCGCCGGAGTCATTTAAAGACCCTCCAGGCGCTGTTTACGACACACTGGCAGCGAATGATCTGCGATACTGTCCGTTGATGCTGGCATTACAGGTTTGTACAACCTCTCTTCGATGTCTGACCGCAAGGTGCAGTGGTACAGTACTTCCCTCACGATGTCCAAGCGGGAGGCCAGAAGCGTCTTAGTAGTGTAGTGTATCAGCGAGAAAGGATTTATCGATAGGGTCCAGATGCCTCTGGAACGTCGCTGACGGCGCCACGACGGGGAGAGTCCCGTCAAACATCCAGTGGATCTCAGCCCACCGAGATCCACTAGAATCCGTCGGCTCCACAGGTGAGGTACTGTCGGGATAACACTGACATGCTTCTGTGCCTCAACTCTAAATAGATGACTTGGACTAACCCTTACTGTCTTAACAATCTCACAATTGCGTTGCGCCAGCGGCCTCTTACTTTCAACCCTTTCAGCATGAACTCAGGATGATTTCAAGGTCCATGATGGGTGTAGTGAGCTCCATGAAGATGTTAATCTTCAATTCGAAAAGATGGACTGAACAGCAAGTTGGATGTTTTTCCATCGTGGCAAGGATGCGGAGTGACGAGAGGGGTTTCGTTGTTAGGGAACCATCTGCAGCAACACTCTCAATCCCATCCCTGCTCCTGGGGTGTTGTTCACTGCCCGCCGCAAATTGATTGGCCACGGCTATTGACTGGAGACCCCGGCCGTCGAGTTACCCCTCGCTTTCGACGCCTTTCCTCCATCCATCCATCTGTTTCTTGTTTGTGCTGCTTTACTTGTACACATTGAGGGACTCAAGAACGGGACTCAACCACACCATTTTCCGACTGGCGGTCATCCTTGGCTGGAATCCGGATGGATGATTCAGCCACGGCTCCATCCGCCTGACTGCCGCTCGTGCTGATGATGACCACGCACAGCACACATTCCACTTGCAGCTTATCATCCCCCACCCCCGCACGTTGCAGTTCGATCTCTTTCCTCTTTTCCTCTGTTGTCGCGCCTTCGTTCGAAGAGCATGACAGGAATCCCCACCCCTCCTTTTAATTGTGACTATCTCCAGTGTTTAGGACCAGGAACGTACAACTAATCAGCAGCCGCCTGCTCAACCGTCATCATTCCTATTACCAAGTGCTACAGCACCTCCGACACCGCCAAGACGCTGTACAGCCAAGTTCTTGCCGACAAACGCACCCTTTTCCCAGCTCCAACCATGGCCACCGTCGAGCACTGTCTCTGCTGCTTCGAAGCACTCGTCGCCTATCATGAGCGTCGCAAGCCCATGAGCCTGTCTGAAATTGAAAAGTCATGGGTCGAATACATCAACACCGTTGACGAGAACAACGGCGACGGCGACGATGACGACCAAGAGGCCAATGTCTCCAGCAAAGCTCCTCAGATCCCCGCGCTCCGTAGACTAGCCGCGGCAACTTTGCCGTCGTCGACCACCTCATCATCGACCTCCCTTGCCACAAGCAGCAGCAGCACCAGCGCCAGCACGAGCAGCAGCAACACGACCCTCCAGTCCGGCATCTCTACGCCTGCAACCTCTATCGCCTCCTCCGCCTCTCCCACCCCGCCTACACCCGTTTACGAATCTCCCCTTTTCGTAACCTGGAACGTCGTCCGAGACTCGGATGATGACGACGTTTCCCTCCGTGGCTGCATCGGCACTTTCGAGTCCCAGCCTCTTTCCTCCGGCTTGCCCTCGTATGCCCTGACCTCTGCTCTCCAAGACACGCGCTTTCACCCCATCAGCCGGGCCGAGTTGCCTTCGCTGCAAGTGGCTGTGACGCTGTTGACTGACTTTGAGCCCGCGGCCGACGCCATGGACTGGGAGCTGGGCAAGCACGGGTTGCGCATCAGCTTTGTGTACCGCGGACGCAGGTACGGGGCGACGTACTTGCCGGATGTCGCGCCGGAGCAAGGGTGGACCAAGGAGGAAACGGTGGTGAGCCTGATGCGCAAGGCCGGATGGGAAGGGAACAAGTCGAGGTGGAGGGACGTGGAACTGAGGGTGGTTAGATATCAGGGGAAGAAGGAGAAATTGGAGTATGAGGAGTACAAAGCCTGGAGGGACTGGGTGGATGGAAAGAAGGCGGAGTGAACGTTAAGAGGAAGAGGAGGAGCTGCGTGGAATCATTGGGTTGCATGGATGAATCACCTGTTTTGGTCGAGGAGTTATGGTGAGGAATATTGGTAAACCGAGGTGTTTGGCGTAGAGGCATAAACGGATACGATGAAGGGAAGAAAGGCCACGCGCGTCACGTTTTTAAAGAGGAATGCAAGCAGAAGCACAGTACAGAAGGTTTACGGATATAACGAGCGGCGTCTTGGGAGTCTAGGACATACTTGAGAAGAGGTTCATACACCTAGAGAGATATTACTTTCAACAACCATGCAAACAAAAGGAAGGAACAGCGGCTGATCGAGACGAAAGACGCAGTTGCAATAGACAACGAAGCAAAGCACAGCACAGCACAGCAAGAATAGAAGTCGAGACAACAGGATTCCTCTGAAACCCAACTAACTCCAAAAGAAAAAAAAAAAAAAACTGGCTGAATACATCAGAAAGAGCCATCACCTTTCACATCCTTTATAAAGTTAAAAGAAGCACAAATGACCCTGCCTTACTACTGCTTCGGTAATCAACTTCATAGAAACAGAGTTAACTCAACTGTTGAATATTACAGGTGCGCATTTCCATGAACATCTAATTCTAACGATCCCTTTACTTTATATACACCCACTCTGCGTCTGCCCATCTTTCCAACCATATGCAATTCAACTTGATCGCGGAGGTATCCAGACGAACGCGACCATCCAAACCTCGCCAACATCACTGCGGCACAATCTCCTTTCCAATAGCTTCCAAACCCTTAACGAGCCCCTCCACCGTTCCCCTCAACGTCTGGCAATTAACCACCACCCTAAAGAGGCTACCCTTATCGCCCGGGGCATAATCCACCATGAACCCTCTCGCAATCAATTTCTCCACCATGATTCTCGTTCTCCTGGTGTTCTCTTCGGGCTGGTCCGCCAACTTCCCGCCGGGGGCATAGTAAAAGCACACCTGCAAACAAGGCGGCGGGTTCGACGACACCAGCACAAAGTCGTTGCGCTCGGCAATCAGATTGGCCAAGTAGGCGGCCATGTCGAAGGCGCCGTCAATCTGCCGCTCGAACCCGGCTGCGCCGTAGTAGATCCATGACAAAGCCAGCTTGAGCGCGTCGCCTCTGCGACCGCACTGGAGCGTCAGGTCGGCTAAATCCCAGACCTCGTCTGAGCTGTTCCCGTTTCCACATCCGTTTGAAGTCACTCCTTCCGAAGGGGTTTGGCTTTGCGCATTCTCTTCCCCATCAGCATCCTCCGTCGCCGGCCCGTGGAACAGATAGCCAGCCGGCAACGTATTCGCCCTATGGAAAACCTTGACATCATTGGTCAAAAGAAACGAACACGTCACCGGGGCATTGAGCATCTTGTGCGGATTCACCGTCAATGATCTCGCCCTGTGCGACCCTTGCATCTTGTGCTTGTGCTTCTTGCTAAAGACGGCCGGGCCACCCCAGCTCCCATCAATGTGCAACCACATTCCAAACTCGTCACACACGTCCGCGATCTCGTCAAACGGGTCGTACGAGCCCAAGACCGTCGTGCCAGCCGTCGCGTTGACGTAAAAGGGGTGTTTTCCCTCGCTCTTGGCTTTGAGGACCATCTCGCGCAAAGCGGCGGGTTGCATGCGCCCTTGCTCATCGACGGGGACGGTCCAGACCGCCGAGGACCCGAAACCGCACGTCATGGCGGCTTTTTCAATGGAGTAGTGCCCGTGAGCACTGGTGAGAAGAATCAGCGGGCCGGGGGCGCCGCACTGCTCGTGCCCGTTACCGTGAATCTTGGAGAGGGGAAAAAGCGTGTTGCGGGCAATGACGATGGAGGTCAGATTTGAAGCGCTGCCGCCCTGGCAGGTGACGCCTCCGGCGCGGGGGCCGGTGAAGCCGAACAGCGAGGCGAACTGCTTGGCTGTGTATTTCTCGATCACGCTGAGGGCGGGAGATACCTGGTAGACGTGCAGGTTGGTGTTGAGAACGGAGAGAAGCAGCTCAGTGACGACACCGACGGCGTTGGTGGAGGCGTACAGCTTGTCCATGAAGCCTTGGTCCCACGTGTTGACGGAGTAAGAGAGGATGGACTGGATGGTTTCTAGAAGACCCTGCGAACCCTGGCCCTCGCCTGAAGGGAGGGAAAGCGCCAGTTCCTTGACGAGTTGGTCCGGTCGGAGGGATCTGACAAGGACATTGCGGTTATCTGGGGGTAGTTGGCCGGTGGCTCGGAAGGAGGCGGCGTTGTCTGCGTCCCGGATGTAGGGGATGATTAGGGACTTGACCGCATCGATAAGCTTTTTATGAAGTCAGCCAGAGTCCGTCCGTTGTGCTTGGTCTCATGATGATATTCGATCTTGATTGATCGAGTGTTATGGTGATAGGGAGAGTGTGGTTGGTTGGTTAGGGGGATGCGTTGAAGAAGAAGCGGGTTAGGGTTAACCGTGACTATGAGCTTGGGACTTACATGATCAACCTCGCTTGCCCTATTCAGAGGCTTGTCCGTGCTGTGAAACCCGTTCATTGTTCTGGTATGTTTGTTTTCCTTGTTATTTCTCCAGAATAGGACAGAATTACGTTCCCGAGTTCAGCGGAAGAGAGAAGAGAGAATCCATGGCAGAGAAACAGAGCAAGACCGAAGAGTCAGAGTTTTTCACGGCCCCCCATGCGTGCCGTCACATACGCCGTAAACAAGGGAACGGTGAACCGAACCGCGGTTTACGCCTGGGCCTCACGTAAGAACTGAACGGTCAAGTCAGCGTCCCACGGTCCACCGGCCAGATCGGCAATCCACTCTTCTTCCACGCCCCGACAGCCGTATCTTAGCAGCAGGGCAGCCCGGAAGGCGGGGCCCGTAAATCCCGCGCACATGGCCGCGTTTGGGCATTTGACGTCCTCGCCGAGCCGCCGACTCCCCCGCCGGAGCATGTCTTGGTCAAGTGGGGATCCAATCGGCTCTGCACCCGATCTTTTCGCAATATGACCTCATCGTGGATCAACTGTTTTTTTGGTGTTTCACGGAAATCTCCTCAGCAAGGCGAGGAATGATGAAACTATTCATCTATATGGCGACCTGAACGCGATGCACCTCTGAAATGTCGTTGGAGCGGTTTGGCATAGATGGTTCCGGCGATAGCATAGCGTTGTGAAGAAGAAAAGTTACTGGAGTGGTTTTGAAGAAGCAAACTGCATAGTATTGTAGCTTCATGAATCATGCATGGCATTGATGTCAGATCACGGGTCATTTGCAGCTCATAGGAGGAAAAACTAAAAAAAAATAAAAAAAATAAAGATAGAAAAACAAACTGCGACTCGTTTGGAGCTGTTGTTGGTTCTGCACTTTGTCGCGTTGGCGAACGGAAGGGGGGAAAGACATATCATTCCTTACTTACCTCTTGCGTACTGACTTTGCTTTTCCACAAGGCGGCATGACCTCCGGTTGTTCAGGCGTCCCGTCACGGCGACCGGCATAGAGACAACGGAAGGCAAATGGCGGGCAACAATGCGGCCGCCCGGTGACCGCTCGGCGGGGCGTTGACCCTTTTTCGCACGTGGGGACCTAGGTGGTTAAGCTACTGTAGCGAGCTGAGGTTTCTCCGAGCGTCGAACAGTGGACCACAACACCTAACGAAGCTGGGGGCAGTCGCGCATTGCCCGATTGGATGTCATTTGAGCCAATCTCCGCTTCTCCTCCCCATTCGGGCTCCGTTCGCCCATCTTTTCCCCAATTCTGACATGTGACTGACTTGTCTCTTTGCAAAATGAAGGCAATCCCAATTTGGTTTTACCTGTGCGGCTACTAGTAAAGACGAGAGACTGGAAGACGGGGTATTCTTTCAGTTAGTTTGTTTCTACAATCAAACGACCTAATCGTCTGTTGACGTGACTGACAGCTTTCCCATTCAGCTGCAGTGGCTCACTGCAAGGCCGGCTCCTGGGCTGGGCACCGCCTGCTGCTGCATGCAATCGCTGTGCGCCATTCTGCTTGTTTATGTAGGTCATGGTTAGGTTCAGTTGCCCTGCCGGAAGCGCAGCCGGTCGTGCATTTGGGGACGTTGGGCCCGTTGCTAACAAACCGCGCCTAACATCCCAGCCAATCATATGCGCCGATCACATCCTTTCTGATTTCTGGAAAAGCAAAAAGGGGCATTTTTTGCACCCCTGTCGTCCATCTGAACGGAGAACAAGACATTGTCTTTTGTCCCAGCAGCAATACAAAGAGGTTTGCGCATGAGTGCAGTGCTGATTATACCACCAGACGGAGTTTTGTTGGTTTCCACACTTGCCATGTGCTCCCGTCCCATCCATGGGCCGTTACCTATCGATGATCGGGCGTGTGAAGGTATCCCTCGCGAAATGTCCTTTCTCCCTTGCTAACGGCGGAAAGGTCCGGATCCGATGACGAGAAACACGATCGTGCCGATGCAAAATTACATCCATGCCTTGTTGCTGTGCCTGTCTGGGCTCTCTGTTTCCAGTCCGCCGGCCATTACACTACAGCGTAGCAGTGTGCATCATGGCCAGCTTCAGATCAAGCATCATCGTCAGCGCCGTCATCTTCCCGGAAAACGCCGGGGGTTGACAAGATCCCAAACTAATAAGGTTGCAACTTTCCCCTGGTGACCGTCGCATTCAACGCACGAGCGCTCTTCCCCGGGAGGCCCCATCGCTTGCCCATGCAGTCCGGTCACCCCCTGTTCAAGACGGGCAGGAACACTATGTACAGTGGGCAGCATCCAATTGTGGGCAAGATGAAATGTGGGTATCGGTCCAAATTCAAATTCAGTGAACCCCGGAAGGAACTACGAATTGGTTGCAGAATACGGCGCATCTGCCCGGACTCTTCTCCTCTGCCCATTGATAATGATACGAGTCCATTCATCATGTCCCGTCCTGTTTTGCGTCTCGTGAGCTGATCTCTCACTTTTTGCCATTTTCAACGCCCCTCTTTTTTTGGTGTTCTTTTGTGAAGAAAAAAAAAAACAAAAAACAAAAACATCATCACAACCCATTTTGGCCAAGCAAACCACTTCTCCCTTGCAAGCCAGCGCACGCATCAACTCGACAAGAAATAGTCCTGGACTAAAACGCACGCACGCTCGTTCGTTCGTTCGTTCGCTCATTGTTTGCTTCTCGACGGCACCGCACCGCACTGCAGTTGCTACAACCACCATATCGGACTAAAAGCAACCTATTTTTATTTTATTTTATTTTTCTTCACAAGTTCCTTTTGCGGTCTGCTTAGCTCTCGGCCTAACTTCGCCCCACACTCTCTCGCTTCCTGGTTTTCCGTCAAACGTGACGTCGAACCAAACTTTCTTTTGTGACGACGCCGCTCGCCCTAGAGGTCCAAAAGAAAAAAAAAAAAAAAAAAAGGAAAAGAAAAGGAAAAGAAAAGGAGGGATCCCACCTTGCTTCACATCACCACCTCTCACCAGGAACAAGGTCCGATCATCGCCTTGTGCGCCCACCCCTCCTTTTTAGGCTCGACCCAAACTTTGTTTATCTTGCAACCCACCTCGACCCAACCGACCGACCCCTCTCTTATACGAAGCTGTCCTCGTCTGTCATCAAATATCTTTCAAATTGCTCCCCCAAATTCCTTCTATTTCTGACCCTCCTTTCGGAACCTTATCTAAGGACAAGCCAACCTGTCCATTTCTTATCCAATTGCAATAATATCGAAGCGGGCACAGCACCCCCTTTTTCCAGTTCCGTTGAAATATCACCTAACGGGAACGGCTTTTCCCCAGCTAGTTACGACAACCAAATATCACCAAACAAGGGCAATTACGTTCTCAACCGAAATCCAAACCAAACCAAATTCAAGATTCGAGAGGAAGAAAAGACAATGCCATCCCAAAATCCCCGTAGTCACGGGCACTCAGCCTCAACCGGCTCCGCCAAAACCGGCGGCGCCTCCATTTCCTCCCCCACACAAGGAGGCACCCGACAATCTCAACAGCCCCCCGTCCCCATCTCCATCACCATCTGCGGCGACGGCGGCTGCGGTAAATCCTCCATCACGCTTCGTCTCGTGCGTTCGCAATGGACAGAAGACTACGACCCGACCATCGAAGACAGCTACAGCATCACGCGCCGCATCGACGGCGTCACCTACCACTTGTCTTTGACCGACACGGCCGGCCAGGAAGAGTACCGCGGCATGTGGGCCTCATCCAACCTGGGAGCCGACGCCTTCTTGATGGTGTACGACATCACGAGCCGCGACAGCCTCGACGCGCTGCAGTATTTCAACGATCTGATCGACATGGAGGCCGAGACGCGGGCGGATAACGCAGCGCGGGCTCGCCGGGCGGGGTTATCGCCGGCGCAGATTTCGGGGAGCATGTCGAATCGGTATGCGACTGGGTCGAACATGGGTGGTGGAGCAGGGTCGGGGGCCAAGGCTGTCCCTCCGGTGAAGATTGTGGCGGGAAATAAGTGCGATTTGTCGGAGAATCGGGTAGTCCCCGCGGCTACGGGCTTGGAGTGGGCGAGAGCGAGGGGGTGCGGCTTCATGGAGACGAGCGCAAGGTTGGAGGTTAACATTGAGGAGACGTTTGCGCTTATTGTGAGGAGGGTGGTGGAGCAGAGGAGGTTGGCCGAGTTGGGCATCACGGGCGTGGATCAGGAGGCGGCCGAGGAGTTGTTGGGGAGCAGTCGGGGGAGGACGAAGCCGTTGAGTCCGTTGCCGAGCAAGGATGGGAAGGAGAGGGGTATGGATGAGAAGGATGGGAATGGTGGATGGAGGAAAAAGAGGGGTAGGGCAACTAAGTTGTTGAAGTCGTTGAGGTGCTGGTAGGACCAGAAGGACCGGAAGGAAATGAGTCGTTAGCACGAGTGGGAGGGCTCAGGTTGGCTTGGCTTCGTTCACGCTGTTAATGCTTCTTTTCGTTCTCTGTTGCTGCTGCTGCTGCTAGGCGAAAGTTGATGGATACGGGGTTGTGTACCTTGGGGCTGGACCTTGGCTCACCCTTGATTCATGGGATCGGACTTTTTGCTACTACTGGAAAGGAGGACTGGGATCGGAGTCGTGGAGCAGGAGTTTATTGGTCGGTCGGCATGTCTTCTTTCTGTTCGGTTTTTTTTTTCGCTGCAGACGACTCAAAAGGGAGAGATACCAAACGATGGGACTTATGTATCAGTTTATCAACCTTACTACTATGTTATGTCTTCTTGCCTTCCCTCGATGTCTTGTCGCTTTTCCCTTGTACTTGTGTTGCTTGACCTTGTCATGCACTGTTGAAGCTCTCTTGTCCATAACGCGACATCGTAGCCGTCAAGCTGAGCAGAAGGATGACCGTGGATGATTTGGGGTCCGGCAGGACATTTTTACATTTTCAATGTCATACCCTCTCCACCGACCCAGAGGTCACTTCTGCGCGACTCGCAAAAGCGAAGTTCACTTGTTCCTACTTCACGGGATGTTCGATACATAAAAGATGAAAAGATGACTTGGAGGTGCGTCAAGACAATTTTTGACTTTGACCGACTGTCTTCAGCATAAATTGACCGACATAAGGGACCATGCGTTCAACAATTCACTGGATCCAACTGGACACATACAAAGTTGAAACTCAAAAACATTTGACAAATTGCATACATAAATCCTCCCTCATTTTAGTTACTACTTCCAACGTCTTGAGCAGGCTTAGCACTTGTCGTTCTGAGCCTTGCGGAGGTCGAAGACACGAATGGCCTCGTGGGCAGCCTTGACACCGCTGAGAGCCATGGCTCCGAAGGTAGGTCCTGTGGTTGGCCAGGGTTAGCATGCAACTCGATCAACTGAAGCAGGAGAAAGCTCGACATACCCATGCGGTTGGCACCGTCAATCTCCGACAACTCCATACCGCCAACGATCAGACCCGGGACGATCTCGCGAGTGTTGTTGACAATAGCATCCTCGGCGGATTGCATATCGAGCCCGCGCATGCCGTTCAGGCGCTCCATCTGCTTCATGCTGACCAAACGCTTGACAGAGAAGGCACCAAAAGGACCATCGTGGCCCGTGGTGCTGATGATAACTGGGGCGTTGATGGTGTTGGGGTCCATGCAGCTCTGATCATCGTGATGCATTGACACGAGGGTCCAGTTGGTCACCACACCCGCAATCCTCACCTTGGCCTCGTCTTCGGCCTCGCCATCATCCGATGACGACGAAGACTCGGCATGGTGCTTCCTGGTGATCAAGTCCTCGACGGTCGTGGCATTGAACAGCTTGACGTTGGGCCTCTGCAAGACCTTGCTCAGCACAGTCGAAGTGAACAGAGCGGCATGCTTGACCACCACGTAGTCACCCTCATCTTCATACGGCACGCCAACCTCGTCCAGGAAGACGTCGGCAGGCTTGCGCATCACCATGGCACTGAAGAGCTGTCCGCCCAACCAAGCGCCACCTCCCGGGGCGACGCCTGCTTCGACTATGGTGATGCGCAGGTCGGGCCGCAGGGTGGACAAGACGTAGGCGCATGAGAGACCGCAAGAGCCGGCGCCGACAATGACAATGTCGGTCTCGGCGTGGGCGTCCAGGTCAGCGAAGTAGCGGCGGGTCATGGCGCGCGAAACGGTAGATTCGCGAATGGGGGAAAAGGTGAAGGCGTCAGTGCCGAGGGTGGGCATGAGCTCCAGAAGAGGCTTGGACAAGCCCCTGGCATCACGCTCAACGGGGGCATCGTTCCTGCCTACGGCCTTGAGACCGACGTTGACAAGAGTGGGGACGCTCTGCGGCTCGAGAACAGAGGGAGACATGGTGATGGATCAGAGTTATCTGGGAATGTTAGAATGACTGTACGGGAGAAGGGGGGAGCGGGGGAGGAAAGTTGAAGCATGATCCTTTCGCTGGTATTATCCAGATCAAGTTCGTCGCCGTATATTCTCAGCCTGTACTTCTCCCCTGGGGACAGGTGCTAACCTAATACCCAGGACAGAAGTTGGCACCGGCTCATGCATTCAGATAGTTACCTCTGAAAGTATGTTTGAACGTGATCGAATCATGGTATAATCATCCAGCCGATGGGGAGTTCATGGCTTCAGCTCCTCCTGGAACGATGGTTTGTGGCCATCTTGGTGGAGGAGGTGGGTGGTCTGTACCCTGGTGTTGAGAGTCTGCTTGCTTGAGGGTGTTAGTATATCAACACCATAGGGGAGAGCAGACAGATGAAGCCCGAACAAGCTTGGTGATACTTGCGTGTTGGTATTGATGATGGTAGTCCTTGGAAGGAACCGATGGAGGTTGTTGATGCCAAAGGTGAGTGACGATGGGAAGAAGATGGGAAAGAAGAGAAGAGACAGGCCTTGTGTAGGGGAGCTGTTGCCCTTTTTATCGTTACTTGAGGTAAGTAAGGTAAGCGAGGTGGGTGCACATGTACGCGACTCCCCCGGTTCAGTTCGAGCTGCATCCCGTCCCCTCGCCTCGCTTGCATCCTTTTGCCCCTCTTGCCCCTCTTTCTTTCCACGACTGCATTGTACACTGAAGTTATGCGGTTATCTGAACATGCCACACCTTCCATCATCCCATGCATCCTCACCACGAATGGTTATCTCGCCTTCCTGTTCCCCTCCTTTGCCCAAGTTTCACGACATCGGCGATCCTCCGATCATGACCTAATATCAGCCCGAGACCATCAAATCGTTTTCAATCGTCGAAGCTATCAAGATAGTTACCCCTCTTCATCTTGCCCGTGTCCAACAAAGGTTCGCTTGTTATCTCGATCCTCGACAGTGCGCGGCTTACGAACATCAATGCGTGAGCGGAACACCCCACTCTCGGTGTCGGATGGACTCGCTGATGGCGTGAACATGAGGAAAGCAAAAATGAAGGAACCGGCTAACTACGCTCAGCTACGGTACAATATCAATTGAGGTCGCAATTTCAAGCAAGAGCTGCAGCTCGCCAATAATAGCGTTGGATGGGTGGTACCACCGTCAACGTGTGACAAAGTCCGACACCTTGCCGACGCCGAGAACTTTAACGGCCCGAACGTTCCCTTCCCCTTCTTGGCTACACTACTATGTCTAGTGTACACGGAACTACCCGCCCACCACAGTGAACAAACAAAAGACTCACGAAAACATGGTAGGTATTACGGTCCTACACTAACTACACTACTAACAAGCAAACAGCATCATGATAACATCCCAGCCAGACGTTGACTTTACCGACAGACATTTTTCGTTTCTCGTCATGTTTTCCATACAGCCGTTCGTATCCCCACAATTCTACTATCCATCCATCCATCCATCCATGACTAACACGCTTGCTTTGTCTGCATGGTCCCTCGCTTCGCCTCACTTCTTAATAACAGAAACAGGAAACTCCCTCATCTCCATCTCATTACAACATTATTGATATATTCGCGGACCAAATATTGGGAAATTCCTCACATCCGTTGAACCGTTATATTTCGGTGTGGGGGTGAGTGTGGCAGTTGTGACTCAAGCGGGGCAGATCGACCTCAATAGCTCTTCCGCCGGTTTTTGCACAAGTCTCAACTGAGCAGAACCATTACGATGTATCCAAATAGTCCAAGGACCACCCCAGCAGTAGCATGCCTGGCCTTCATGATCAAGCCAGGAGCACCAGCTAAAACAGGACCATGGCCTGCTCCGGCCGCCGTTGTCGGGCGAAACGGGACAGCTGTATCAGTTACTACCACCGGATCGGGGTCCGGTGTCGACGCCGGTGTTGTGGGAGTCATGGCGGGCCTATGTGAGTCACCACCAGTTAACACTCCTCCCTCTCCTGACCCCGGCGCTCCTGGCACTCCCGGTGGAGAGCCAGAAGCAGTAGGATCGTCAAGAGGAGGGTGAGGACCGTAAGTATATCCCGCTGGGGCGTGTTCATTGCCACCGTTACCGGGTGTGGGAGGATCGGTATGAATCGGGACAATAGCCGGTGGTGTTTCCGATACCGATACCGCCGGCCCTGGGTACCCGCCCCCTACTCCAACAAGAGTTGACGTCGTACATTCCGACTCGCTACCAGCACTTGCTGCCGGTCCTGCTGGTCGAGTCGCAATGGTTGTTGGGTTCAGCGCCGATAACCAGACCTCGGAAGAAGGACGGCCAACACCCGGGTCCATCACTGTTACCGTTGAGGTGGCGTCTGGTTCGCCGTAGGAACTGCATGCATGGCAAGGGCCTCCCGGCGTGTGACCGGGAACTGTTCCAGTGTAAATTGATGTCGTACAGATGCTGCATGGCTGGAACGTGACGGTTACGGTAGGCTCAGTTGCCGTTGTGCACGACGTCTATATGGGACAAGGTCAGTTACACTCGCACATTCTTGTTCTGTATCGGTCGGCGATGCTGCAACTTACCCTAGTGACGGTGAAGGAATGACCAGACGAGGCAGGTGTTCCCATGATGCAAGGGTAGCATGGGAAGTTTGTTGCTGAAGTCTGGCAGATGGACCGGGACATGGTGGCAGTTGTTGAAGTGATTGTTGTTGTGACTGGTACCACTGGTTGTCAGTATCAATCACGTGGAAAGATCTCTTTGGGATCATGTGGACTAACCCGTTGCCCCCTCAGGACAGACCTCGATCTCCTCAATCAGGTATATGATCTCGACACCAATCCACCTATCACAACCTACCGGAGTTGCGGTCGGGGACGGACTAGTAACATCAGATCCTGAGGATATCGTGGAGCCGGTCCCAATACCACCCGATCCAGCACCAGTCGACACGGATGAAGGACTACCTCTTGTGTCCGTTCCGTTCACTGCAGCAGAAGACGGAGAGACTCCTGGTGTTGCCCCGGATACAGAACTACTACCACTCCCTGTTCCGCTCCCAGCTTGGCCTGTGGACACAGCAGAACCTGGGTGAGTGTTGGCGGACTCTCGTGTCAAAGTCCACCCAGAGGGAAGGCCGGGCAGAGTAGTAGCTGATGCAGAACCAGATACAGATGTAGCTGTCAATGAATCCCCAGAAGATACTGATCCAGATACGGATGACCCCGAGCTCAACGATGACAGACTCATCGAGGGTGCACCAGACGCAGCATTACTGACAGGCTGTTCACTACTAATGGGCCCTGAGGGACTCAACGTGAGCGAGCCACCCGCTCCTGAACCGCCATTTGAAGGATTGCCCGTGCCTGTCGCCCCGGGAGCTTGTGCAGACCCAGTTGCTGAACCAGAATTACCACTTCCGCTACCATTGCCGTTGCTACCTCCACCGCCAGCTGAGATGCTGCTTGCGGCCATAGTCGCAGTACCCGATCCTGAACCAGGGGCCGGCGTAGCAGTGGCAGTGCTCAGTGAACCTGCCCCTGAGGATGAGCCAGAATTTTCTGTTGTCTGACTACCGGGCAAGGGCGATACAGTTATTCCCGAGTAGGTGAAGGTGGCGGTTTGGTTACTGAACGGCGGGCGAGAAGACGAAAATTGGGATGCTGACCCAGATCCTGCTTCTACTCCGGCACCGGCTCCAGCTCCAGATGATGGGCTTGCGGAGAATGGGTCTCCCGAGGCTGTTTGAGTATCCGCGCTGGTGCTGGACAAATATTGTCCAGAGTTTGTCGCAGTAACTTTGCTACTGGACGGCGGCACTGCTCCCGGATTACCACTCGTGTCAGGTCCCTCTGTATCAGGCTCTCCACTGGCGCTGGGAATAACTGTTACTGTCGATTGAGGAGCCGTATTCGGGCCCGAACCTATACTGGATGGAGATGATCCGTCGAGTTGAGAAGACGATGATCCCGGATTACCGCCACCGTTACCACCACCAGCACCACCACTAACACCGGACGATGGCTGCACACTACTTTGAGCCGAGGGTTGAGCTGTCACCGTCACCTGTCCTCGAGAGGCGCTGAGTTGACTACTAGACACGCCAGGCGAATCCGACGACGACGCAGACCCCGAAGAGCTTGGGATGTCCGACAACGAACCTCCTCCTGGTGACTGGGAAGACACAATCGGCTGATCGGGCGGCTGCGCCGTCACCGTGACCGGCGGTGCTCCCGACTGTGGACCAGAAGAGGAAGGAGAGCTTGGAAGCCCCCTAGAGGTAGTGCCAGATCCAGATGCTGATCCCACAGGAGAACTGCTCGCGGATCCCGTACCAAGATCAGCCGTAGCTGTCTCCGGTGAGGAGGGCGCATCACTATTATTGGGTCGACCAGAGCCGGAAGCAGTGACGGTGACGGGCCCACTTGACCCGCTGAGCGCCGAATCGCCACTTGACTGAGACAACGGGGCCGAAGAAGAAATGCCTGCCTGCGAGGGTATCGAAGACGGAGGGGGAGAGCCGCTGAGAGATGGAGGGAAAGCTGTGACGGTGACGGGTCCTGATACGGGCTGTGATGACGACGAACCCAAACTTTGTGGTGAAGTCCCGTTAGCGGACTGAGCGGGCGGAAGAACTGTGACGGTGACTGGACCTGAACCTGATGGCGATGGCGATGGTGATGGTGAGCCACCAGAGTTGGACGGAGATGATGGCTCGACGGTGACGGTTCCGGGTGGTGATTCTGATGGATCTTCTGACGGAAATACAGTCACCGTTGGAGGAGGACGGGGAGGTTCAAGCGGCGAGGTACCATTGCCGTAAGACACACCGGAGCTGTTGCTAGGAGAAGTAACTGAGGAGGGCGCAGGCAAAGGAGTCACGGTAACTGTTGGTTGAACACTCGATGGTGAGCTGGGACTGGAGGGAAACACAGTCACCGTGATGGGATCTATTTCCGGCCCGGTGGGACTAGGAATGGTCGAGGTATCGATAAAGGTAAGATTTGCCGTCACGCTGCTCGAAGGGAGCGATGCCGTGACTGTGACAACGGGCCGAGAGAAGGTTGAGTTTGCAGGCAGTGATGTGCTCAAAATAATTGTACTGCTGACCTGTTAGGATTCTTTCGCTGATTCTTTCGCTGTTCGGACACTACATACCTCGAGTTTGACGAGATTGTCGAACTTGGTGCGTGGCTGGTAGTCGTCGACGCAGTGTTGTTGTCTTTGGGACGACATACTCCGGGGCTGATCATGCCATAGATGCACTTGCACGATGCCGAGCAAAGACTCTCTGGAGTCCCGTTTGCTTTGCCCTCGTCGCATTGCTCGTGGAACTTGGTGTCCGTGACATTGTTTCCGCACCCAACGGGAGTTGCTCCACGCGCAATTATGTACGGAATGCCCACGGTACCGTCAGCAAACTCCTGCTGCCCCGGACCAGAAGCGTTCACGGCCACAGCCAGCGCGTTGAAACCACCGGACCCGTCCCGAGGATAGTCCGAGAACACCTCATGGACACTGCAGTTCCAGTCGCTTGCTATGCCGTCGTTCAGCGAGTTCATGACGTCGGACGTGGCCACAAGATGGGCGTCGTTCAGACACGGGTGACTGAGGTTGCCCCGGACCTGAAAATTTCCAATCTCGGACAGAGACTGGACAGTCATCTGGCTGGAGTTACTCTGATAATAGCACGAGAGCGAGAAGTACATGCCTGTGCCATTCCTGTTGCCGAGGGTGACGTGGCTAATGGCGTCCTTCATCATGGCGTATGCACCGGGAAGTCCGAACCATTTGGCGTGAAAGGACGGGTCGGTGCCGATAAGGATCATGTTTCCCGTCACGGCCGGAGACCATTCCTTTTTTGTGTCATCTAGGAACTTGATGGTGTTGAGACTGGTGTTGCAGAGGCAGTCGGGGACAATGATGGCTTTGTACTTTGCAAAATCTTCCGTGGTCATGTTGTACCATTCTGCTTCATCTTTGCAGACGTGGGCTATTTTTTTTTTTTTTTTTTTTTTTTTCGTCAATATCTTTTCTTCTGAGTGTTGAAAGGCTCGTCCTATGCTAGCTTGCCTCACTCACCTGATAGTCCCAGCTTGACGGTCTCATTGTACTCCGAGTATTTCAGGCCATGCATATACGGGAACAAGACATCTTGAGCCAACGCAATGCTTGCCAGACTGGCTAGAGCCAGATGAATGATATGGGCGAGCCTCATCAGGATTTGTTGGCGAAAGTTTGGTAGTGATTCTGGGGCCTAGGGAAAGGAGATTGCGTGGGATAGACACGTCTATCAACTTTACTGACAGCACGTCTGGAAACGAGCGAGTGAACCCCCGGACGGAAGGCCAAAAGAACGAGAGAAGGGCAAGGCCGAATGAAGTTAAGTGCCAATGAAAAAACACGTTTCTAGCTAAACAGAAGAAGATGATGATAGGGATGAGAGGTGTTGCTATTTGAGCAAAAGTAATGCGTCGAGTGAAGCATAAGATTAATGAGAGTCAAGGTAACCATGGGGTTCTGGGATCTCCATGAAAGCAGGCCCAGGGGTAGCTGAGGTTTCGACATCTTCTCCTTGCTGACGTTCTCACCACTCCCCGGGATCTGGAGAGAAGCAGTTTAGCTCACCCACTGTCGGCGCCGGTGGACTAAACTGCACTGACAACAACACGGTCTATATCAGGCAATATCGTGTAGCACATTCCGATACATGACAAGGCAAGGTAGGAGGTGTAACTGTGGTTGCCGAGGAGAGGCAGAGGCAAATCAGACACACCGACCGAGCTTGTCTGCAACGTTGGCCATGTGACGAACCACGAGATGTAGCATGAGGAAAACGTCGATGTCTGCTCTGTTGTTAATACTATGTATTCTGCACAGCTGTCTTGTTGTTTCAACTGTCTGCAGACCTCGGTAGTGCTATGCTTTGGATAAAGTCACCAATTAGGTATAAAAAACCTGAAATGCCTACAGGTATGTAGGTAGGTACCTGACTCTAGCGATCCATCATCATCAGCCGTTCAAGATCTAAAACACAATCAACTATGTATGAGATTCTCCGTGGGCTTTGAGGCACTCCCAGATCTCATGTTGTGAAGCGTGGGCGTCAAAACACAAAAGCGGAGAAATTACGCAAGATTATCAGCCGCAGCGATACTACCGTTTAGCTGACTACGAGCTACATAGGTAGTAGGTTGGCTTTCCCTCCGCATATCGAGTACCTTGTAGTCAGCCAGCCCGGTCTGACATGGTCGTCTTCACTTTCCCCGTTAGCATAGGGTAACGGACAGCGTGCCCTCTAGCGTTACACAAATTGGACGTTAGACATACAGATATCAACCCAGTCAGTCAGTCAGATATACCTACAAGCAACGTGTATCAAGAAGAGGAGAAAAAAAAAGAAAACAGCCAGGATCCAGGAACCAAATGCGAGCGAAACACATTTGTCTTGGAGTGCAATTTTATCTCTGTGCTACCTACCTTATTCTATTCCCTTTTCACGCCTTTCACCCTCTCTCTAAGTCGTATGCTCAACAGGCAATTTTACAATTTCCCTCTCCCCCAGGCTGGTACCTATAAGAGCAGAGGCAAGATCTGAAAACAAACATCAGATCAGTTCAGCGACCGACAGATATGGACGGGCATGTGTGGATGGCTGCGGGGCCAAGAGAAAAATGTCTTGAACTCTCAAGTGTTTGGATCTCAGCTGACAAAGTGTTGGAAGCAAGCACCCGTTCAGCGTTCAGCGTTCAGCGTTCAGAGGCGGCGGAGAGGAGAAGAACCGCGAAGAATGATGCGTCATACTAGTTCCACATCTCTGTATCTTCATTTGAATATCCCGAAGTTGGGAAAGTCAGTGTGATCGAGAGTGATATATTATTGGCATCGTTCGGCCCGTTGAGAGTTTTCGAGTCTTGACGCCGGCGTGTTTTGGTTTCAGCTCTCTCTCTCGTGTCCATGAGTCTGATGACTGAAGAAAGACGTCGGATATCGGCGACAGCGGGATTGGAAGGAAAGAAGTTGCAGTACTAAGCTGGAGGAGTAAGTAACCGAACTCTATGATGTCAAGATCGATTCGGGGAAGACACGGTTTCAAAGATTGGGAGAGTGAGGAGAGAGCTAACGGAGAAGCAGAAGGAGTCAGCAGTTCGTTGCCGTGAAAATGGCCGGTGGTTGAGTGGGCAGCCTGTAAGTAGGTACCTACACTGCACCTTACTTAACTCGACGGACCAACAAACTGAAGGAACTCGAAAGAAGCTGGACAGTGCAATAACCGGAAGTACACTTCCCAATGATTTCATGTGAAGAGGGCTAGTAGAGCGTTTGATTTTACCGTACTCAAGCACGAGGGTCACTAACAGATGGACTGCTGGATACAACTAACTAGCCTAGCCGGCCCTCGCTCTTTTCTGCCTTTAGTATTCGACCGTAGTTCACCGCACTGCAGCGAGAACGGAAGGGACACCGGAGCCCATGCCCCGATAGTATCTGCCAGGGTGTCGGGTGCTTGCCCGATCAAGGGATTATGTAGATGAGTTCAGTACCACTACCTAGATCATATGTGCAAGAGGGCAGGAACGATGAGATTGGCTTTTGGCCTCCTCCTGTGGAAACCCAAAGCCGGCAGCTATGCCAGGGGAAATGAAGTGCTCAACAACGGGAGGTCCAGGTTATACAAAGATCCAGCACTCTTCAATCTCGTACAGTGCCTCCCAGTCCACAGCTAGACCAGGTTCATCACTGTACCATATCCCCATTGTCCATTGACAGTGACCGCAACAGTCAAATTCTCGCCATTCTATTTTCACCACCTGTTCTAGGTGACGTCTGTCTACTCCGAGTCCTTTCCAAACGCCCAAGCGGGCATCTTCCTCACATCCCAAATCTCAAACGGATCCGCATCCTCCTCGCTGACCAAGACCTCAGGGTGCTTAACGCCCTCCTTTTCCAACTGAGCCTGCAACTGTGGCTGCAGCCTCTTTTTCAAAAACTTCCTCTCGCTGTTGCTGTGAAACACGGTCATGACCACTTTCCCCTTCATAGTGAGCGCCAACGCATAGTGATGCGTCATCTCGCCGGTAACAATCATATCGGCGTCGCAGTTTTTGAGCACGTCGGCCCCGCTTCCCGCACAGATGCCCACGCTCCTGATGGTCGTGACCTTCTTGTCCTTGGGTGCGGCGATCATGATGTGGTTTAGCCCGCCGAGGCCCTCAGCGTAGGCCTTGATAATGTTGCCGAGGTAGACGGGGTGGCCGAGCTCGACGAGGCGGCCGTAGCCGGAGTTGAAAAAGGCCGGGGGCAAGGAGGCGGTGATGGAGCTCGAGATGGGCTGGCAGATGCTTCGCTTGGTCTCGACGCCGTGGCCGTCGAGCATGTCGGCTAGCCAGTCGTTCATGCCGCCGGGCGCGGCATCGACGGCCGTGTGAGGCGAGTAGACGGCGATGTTGGCCTGAGCGAGCTGCAGGAGGATGCGCTGCTGGGGGTCGGCGAGGGTGACGGACTTGAGGCCGCGGAAGATGAAGGGGTGGTATGAGACGATGACGGAGGCGCGCTTGCGGATGGCTTCCTCGGCGACGGCCACGGTGAGGTCGTTAGTCAAGAGGACGGTTTGCGGGACGTCTTGGCCGGCAACGGCAATGTTCTCTTGGAGGAGGCCAACATTGTCCCAGGCTTTGTCGGCGAGTTGCTCGGGATAGCTGGTTGCGGTCAGTATCAGCCATGAAGATCAGGCAGGTGAATGGAACTTGAAGTCCAAAGTACTTACAGCGCCCGCATGGCGGCAACTACCCGCTTGGTGAACTGGGGGCTTTCGAGGGTTGAGGTCATTGTGATAGTGGGGTTGATGTTTATGTTCTGACAATAACCTCTTTTAAAATATCCCGAGAGAAGGATTGATGGTTTATACGGAAGTGCGAGAGGTTTGGTAGATATTCTGGAAGCGATCCGGATAGGGATCTTGAAGCCTGCACTCATGAGTGTGCCCTGGGCAAGTGTTGTTGATGCTCAAAAAGTGGGCAGCTCCAGGAAATGATCAAGCTGTAGTTTTGTTAGCGGGATTCACTAGAGAATGGAAGGAAGAAAATCAGGTATATATTACTTTTCGTGTTGAAATCCAACCGAAATATATCTAATTTTCACTCAAACCTTTTTGTCCTCGTCAATCATCCAAGTAAAGTGTTTGTTTACAACTGAACTTGGAATCGAATGGAGAGCTCAAGGCGGGGGAAGGTGAAGCTCCCGAGTTCCTTCGAACCTTGCAAAGCTCCCCATCTCTCCGGTTTCAACCCTAACCCTTAGTGTACTGTAGTGGAAGCTCCATGCCAAGACCTTCAATTCGCGGGGCATCTTTTTCTCACACTCACTTCAGGTTGCTGGTCCCTGTCAATTATTCATCGATTTTGTCTTTCTTCCCATCCACTCAGTCTTTGCCAACGCAATTTCGAAACAACACGGATCTCCAAATACCACTTCCTCGTACATCAGACATCAGGAATCCTACCATACAATACCTACTAGCACACAAAAATGGCCGACAACCAAGAACCAGCAATAACCGAGGACTTCCTCTCCGCCGCCCTCAAAACGCGGCTCAATGCCACTCACGTGGAAGTAACGGACATGTCGGGTACGTACATGCATTTCACGGCATTACATTTTTGTTTTCTTTTCCGTCGTTTAGGTACACTGCATAACCGTTCGTTCGGTTCCCTCCCGTTTCCCGATTCCAATATGCTGTACACACACACATACATATCGAGGACCTACCTCTACTACCGTACTTACCTTCCCGCACCCTTACCCTGACGTCATGTCACGGTGTGGTCCGGAGTCTCAATGAACAACAATCTGATGATCTGATAAGATCTTGCCATTCCCTCTCTCCCCCAACCACACACCATCATCACCCTCCCATTTCTGCCTGCTTCCCCCCATCACCCCAGAATCAAGTTTACTAAACTAAGCCCCACCTCCCTCTTCCTAAAAATAAAGGCGGTTGCGGCGCCTCCTTCACCTCTCTCATCGTCTCTCCGGATTTTGTCGGCAAGAACTCGCTCAAGCGGCACCGGCTCGTCAACGCCGCGCTCAAGGAGGAAATTGCGCGGATTCACGCGTGGAGCGCAAAGTGCCAGACCCCCGACGAGTACGCAAAAGAAAAAGCGGCGACGGGCGGGAACGACGGCCCGCCCATGGACGGGACGAATGCTCAGGGCAAGGTGGAGGGTGTTACCGAGTGATATGTGAAAGGACGGAGGGAAAAGGGGGAAAGGGGAGAATGTTCGGATCTGATCAAGGGAACCAGAAAGGAAAGGAAGGGGAAGGAAAGAAAAGTGAGGTGGTAGTCCAGGAGGAAAATCTTGCTGTAGTGGTGGTGTACCTGGATGGGCATAAACAGCGCGTATTGCCCAAAAAGGGCGGCGTGTAGTCTCTCGGGAGACTTCTGAAGCAAGGGTGGAAGATAGGAAGGAATGACAGCAGGAAACGAACCATGGCAATTTAGTGCAATGTGCAATCCTTGCTCGGTGTATATGCTCGGTGTATTACGTTTCTGCCTGTTATGGGAGTTGATCCGCGCTGTACCTAGGACGAGAGAAAAAAATGGAATCTGATCGGTTAATACTCGACACTCGCCTGCCCTCCATTTCTCTACGAACCATTACATTCCGGCGTGGACAGTTACACCTGCTCGATACTTGCTCCCTCATCTGAAGCCGGATCGTCTGTCTTCTCTTTGTTCCTCCGCCACATAAGCCAACTCCACCGATTTATGTTCATTATCGCGGCGAAAAATCCTCCTATCCGTTCCATCATTGTCCATGTCCATGAACCGCCTCCACATATCTGATGCTGATGGGGATGGCCATGTCGGAACCCTCCCCTTGTTGCTCCAGACCTGGTAGAGAATCTTGATGAGGAATCTGACTTTGTTCGTCTGTCTCTGAGCGCAGGCCTTTTCCGACCATCTCTTCTCCCACCCAAAACGTCGTTTTCGTTGGCCGTGGGCGGACATGCCCTCACCCTACCATGGTCATCAGTCGTCTGCCATGGGTTCGTTGAGGGCGGCCTATTAAGCAATTCACTGGTATATCTGTCAATCCGGTTTCCCATATTCCTAGCCATTCTCATGCCCCAGCGAGTCTGGAGGACAAATATGACCATGAAAAAAGGGATGCAAACAGCTATGAGAGTGACAGGAAAGCGCCAGTCATCGACCGATATCTCGAGAGTGGTGATACCAAAAACGGACTGAGATTGAGTTAGTAGCGAACCTTTTTCTCGAGATGCACAGCAACTCAATTCAGGGTGAAAAAACAGGCCTTTTTTTTCTGTCATAGATAGGGTGCAAGGTACCGGTTGGATAAAGAGAAAAGCGTGCAAGGGAGCGTAGGTATATATATGGTTGTGAATACAGCGGAGGCTGGGGATGACGAACACTCGGCACATTGTATGATAAGAGGGGAGAGTGGGGAATCAGAAGAATACGAAAAGTGGAAGCTGACTCACAGTAACAAAAGTTAAAGGCAGAAAGAGCATCGATACCACGGTAAGGATCTTGATGTTGTCTCCCTGCTCAATGGCCCTTCTGGACTCCTTGACGCTGCTCCCGCTAAAGAGCTGCTCCCTCAGCGACGAAATCTCGTCTCGTGTTTTTTCGTTTCTCTTCCGCACCATCTCCAGGTTTTTCACCTCCCTATCCAACTCCTGTCTGAAAACTCCCATGCATTTAGCATAATCTTGACCATCACTCGTGTCTGGGTATGGGTGCGCCCAAAGCTTCTCATGTTTCCCTGCCCAGAACTCTTGCGTAAACGTCTCTTTGTAGGCTAACACCATCGAGTCGATCCCTACATTGATCACACCGAGAGTATTGTACGCCCAAAAGTAACGACGAGAATACGAAAAGTTTTCGTCTTCAAACAGGAGGCCGTCCCGAAGCTCAGAGTTGAACATGAATTGGCTCTATGAACAAGTATCTTAGGTTAGTGGTGAGTCTGGTATATTGCTCAAGCGACAGAATTCTTACCGGCGGTGTGATGAGCTTTGTCACCTCGTCGTTGATCTGGCTGTATCTTGTAACGGCATCATGGTACTCAAGAGCCAAGCTATCCAGAAATGCAACTGGGCCATTGCATAACGGCCGTCTTGACCCCTCGCTCCTCATCGTGTGCTCGTCATCTGGGAAGCACTGGATACTGAGAAGTTGCCATGGTGCCGAAGTGTCAAAAATAACATGGTCCTTGATATCTCTTTTCTTCACCCGTGCCCGGTACTTTTTGATTGGATCACCGCCCAGTGATAATGCCAAGATTGAGCTGCACTCTGCGATGTCGACATGGTCGGGCCATTTGCGGTCAGCTGGACGTCTATCATAACGTTGCCACGGTGCAGGGGTGCACTTGTTCTCATTGACAACAGTATAGTACTTGAAGACGAAGAAGAATGTCCTGTGCCTTAGAGGATTGGATTCGGTAGTTCGATCCATATAAGCCTAGGTTGGTATATTCTGTTAGATCGACGAGTTAATTGACTGATGGTATCACGCACTTTGGTCTTCCCGTTATTTCCTTCACTGGAAATGAGATGTTGGAATAGCTCGTCCATATCGAAGTGTTTCCGCATGGTCATATGGGCTGCTCCGAGTACGAGAGGGGGGACCTCTTGAAGAATACTTGATCCCGTCAACAAGAGTGTTCAAACTTTCGCAATAGCAAATACACACTCACGTTATTCTTCCGACCGCCTTCCCATTTATGTTCACCTCTTTGAGAGTATCCCAGACGCTATTGATGCTGAGGACTTGTTGAGGGTCGTCTCCGTTCTCTTTGTGTTTGGGCTCGGGCATGCACTTCTGATCACCACTCCCGGGTACCTCGTATACCTCGTATGTGGCATTCTTGTATGTGTCGTCACCTCTTTCTTCCCATGGTTCCAACGCTTGTTGTGGGGCATTAATATACTCATCCCCACGCCGAACCTGTAGGATTTCTTCCACAGCCCAGTTGGTGCTATTGAGTGATGCCAGATGTGTTCTCAAATCTTGCTCCGTAAAAGACTCTTGCTCGATTGGCTTGGTGGTGCAGAAGGAATGGCACAGCAAATCATCACCATCGTTATCGGCCATTGTGGGCGTCTGAGATGCTCTGTCGTTGGAAGACGCTTGAGTTGAAAAGTGATACGGTCTCGAGCTATGCAGCTCGTCCGTTTGATGCTAACAACGATTGGAACCGAATGTGCACCAAGAAAGACTATCGTGAGGGAAAGCCGAGCCCCTAGGCGGCGTAGGCAGGGGGCTGTCGTGGCTGCGTGAGCGTTCAATCCCACTACTCTTTGGGAGAACAGTAGGGGAGTTAATATTGAGTGTCAGTCCATGAAGGAGCCGAAGATTGGCGATATATAGTTCGTGGTGTAGTTCCATGGCTTTGAACAGTTCATCCGGATTGTTGGAGGGTTTCATAATGAGTGTGCAAATTACAAAGTACTGGATGAGGGGAGTTTCGATCAGAGACAGACCGGGACGAGGATCAGTTGGGGCGACCATGCTTCAAAGCTCGTGCTTTTCGAAAACTGATCGCTCATCGATATCCTACCACGGATGTAAGCTGAATATCGTGGGTAAGTGTGTACTCCGTTAGATGGACGACGATAATCTGACAGGGCCTTGCAAATGCCACAAAATAATGAATGAACAAGGGCGAAAAGGTTCGTGATAGCCCGCCGTAGAGACGTCGAGTAAAGGGAGATGTTCAGCCGGATTTCTAGGAGCGGAGAATAAGATGGCTGGAGGTCGTGCTTCTGGAACATTTGTCAATGAAAAAATGGGGAGTCTTGTTCGTCTCAAATTGAGAAACCCCCAAAAAGATGAGAAGTGAGAAGTGATGGGAAGTGGCAATCACGAACCTTGACCCAGCTGGTAAGTATGACTCCTGTAAGGTGAAGTGACTGAGGTTGCGTGTAATATGTCGGTCGCATATCAGAGGAAAGAGGCATGAAGTATGAGGTAGTAGACATCCACCGAACGAAAGGGACAGACAAGCTAGGTAGGTACCTGTGGGTAATATGTCTTTCGTCTCCTTTCTTTGATCCAGCCGAACAGCTCCCAGTAAACAGAAAAGTCGACCGCATCGATCTCCTTGTTGTTCTTGCCGGTCATCGGATCACTACATATTAATTGGCTCTGTACTACTATGTATTTTGAACGTAAACATGCACTCAACCCTCTTCTCATTCTTGTGGCCCTCGTTCTTACCAAAGTTCCTGCTTATGCCACACTGAACTCGGGAATCTCACCCATCTCAGCCTTTGCTTCCGCTCCAACCTTGTATGATACTCTCCACCTGAGTTTCACGCTCTCTACCTTCTTGGTCTTGTCCGCCGTATACCATACGTTGACTGACTGGGTAATGCCCCGGCTCTGCTTGGGGGCAAGAGTCCGTCCTGTTTGAGGCTGAAGTTGCAATTCGTATCCCTGTTCAAGCATCACAGTTAGCATCTCGCTTGAGGGCTTTCTACAACTGACGAAGGCACATAACGTAGCCCAAAACATTTTTGGTCAAAGTGCTAAGGGTCAGATTAGTGAGCTTACCTTGGTGACAGCCAACTGGAAATGCACCTCGGTGATGGGTTGCGCTGTGTTGTTGGTAAAAGCAAATTGCATAGAAATGGCTGGAGATGGGCCATTGGACAGAGACCTGACAGCCACCATGTCGACCTTGAGCGCATTGTTGGAAACAACGGCTCTGTGCTCCTTAGGCTGGGCGGGTGTCGCCTCAGGAGGCAGTGCCGAGGAGAAAGACCACTCGTCATCGTCATTACCGGTAGCAGCTGGTGCTGGCGCTGGCGCTGGGGTAGATGAAGAGGAGAGAGAGGCTAGAGCAGCAAATGGGTCGTTGGACGCTGTTGACGACGCAGCTGGCGCGGAAAAAGCGGATGCCGTATACGCGGGAGGCTTGGGGGTGCTTGATTGAGAAGCAGCTGGTGATGCGAATGAGTTGAAATTGTTGAAAGAGGATGGGCCAGGTTGAGGGGAGGGGCCCCGTGCGGTGCTGTTCTGCGTAGTGGATGAGAGCAGTGCCGGTCCAGGAATATCTGTGGTGAGTGGTTAGCAACATTCTCTCATTGACTCTTGCACGGAAAACAGCGAGTGACATACTAGTATTGGCACCGAACCCGAGCGCAATGCCACCTCCTTGACCATAAGAGCTGGTTTCACCCAGCGACAGGCCAAGCAAGTCGTTTTCAAGGCTGTTTCCCGCCTGGGGTGCGGACTGGCTGGTCGAGTCTCCTCCGCTTGGCTCAGCATCAAAATCAATGAGCGACAGCTCTTGCGCCGCACTCTTGCCAGCACCACTTCCACTGCCGTTGCTTGTGCTTGAAAGTGGCGCACCACTTGCCAATGCCTTGGCACCCTCTATGTCGCCCTTCTTCAGCAACCTATATCTCTCCACAGTTCGGTGTATGCTGTCGTTGATTTCGAGAAGTTTTGCGACTGCTTCATGGTCGTCCGATTCTTCCTCGCACATCTTCTGAATCTTTGGCTGGGCGCTAGACAGGGCGGCTGCGAGCTCGGAAAACACGTCGCCATCTACGATCTTGTCGCCGGGTTTGAAGGCTTCTAGCCGCTCCTCGAGAAGTCTCGCTTTTTGTTGGATTTTGCCCACGTCCTCGGCCGCCTTGGCGCGGTAATCAACCTTGGATCTCGTGTCATAGCCAGCCATGACCTTCATGAGTCGATTAGCCTCCTGGAGGTCCTCGGGAGTACCTCGACGGATAAGCTCCTGCAGCTTGGCGGACTGCGCCTCGCGTTCCTCCTCTTCCATTTCCTCGACCGATTTTAGGTTCTGTGACAGATAGGTTAGACATGCTTCAGCACTGACCCCTGGCATCGGGACGGAACACTTACATCACTCGGGTTAAGCACAGCAGCATCCTCCCTTCTGACTTCGGGGAAGGTGTACCCCTTGTAGCTCAGCAAGCGGTGCATGTCCCTGATGAAGCCCAAGTCCTCCTTGTATCTGCTCGTCTCGCAAATCGTACAGCGCCATTCCTCAATGGCTTCGAGGATCTTGAGCTGGACGCGGGTGGGGCGGATCGGGGGCCGCTCGGGAAAGCGGCGTACCAGCTCATTGAGAAACTCCTTTGTGCTGATCTGGAGGTGGAAGGGGTAGCCGCAGTTCTTGACGCAGATGTCGAGCAGGTTGAGGGCAAGCAGCGAAACGTTGGGGTTGCGGTTGTTGATGTAGTTGACAATGGCCACGGCGGCCTCTCGAGGGGCGGAGCCCTTCTTGGAGTTGATCAAGTCGGCGATCTCGAGGTTCAGGGCCAAATTGGGTTCGTAGTTGTCGGGACTGCAGGCGGCCGTGATGAAGCGCTGAAGCTGGGACGGGGCCGGGCGGCCCATCTCGGCCCACCGGTCGCGCGTGGCATAGCGGGCAGACGCCGCCTCCATGTTGCCGGCGTTCTCGGGGAGTCGGGACGTGTTGAGTGGATGAGGAGACTGACGAGACTGAAGAGACCGAGGAGGTATTGGGGCCAGATTGCGCAGCTTGGCGGGAGTCGCCTGGATAGGTAGGTAGGACCCAAGCCTTCGGTCAAGCTCTAGTCAGTCTAGAGGAGTTGTGTGCCAGAGGTAGGTAGGTAGTAAAGCCCCCCTCTTCCCGGTGAGCCGTTGGGATTGTAAGTTCTGGTTGGACCTGCAACAGGATGTTTTGACGATTACCAAATATGGTGAAGAGAGGTAGCTATGGTACTACAGTTGGAGTATGATTCGATCCGAACTTCTGTACCTAACGGGAATGTGTCCACCGGGATCGCTAGGTGGCTGATGGAAGGAGGAGAGGCCTGCTGACGGGAGCTTACACGGCTAGGTCAGGTCGTGGACCCCTCTCAGTGCTCTGGACGGACGGGTTGGGCTTGGGCCTGCGCTGTTGCCTGCCGTTGTTGGGGCGCAAGGAAAAGTGGGGCTGCATATTGGTGTACGTTGCGAGACTGCGTTACAAGAATACTATCTTTGTGAATGAACAGCACTTCGACAAGCGCGTCCAGCATGGTGCAAGCGCGGCAGACGCTTGCGAATCGAGCATCTTCCGCAGCAGCAACCGGTGAGTTGCGTGAACCCGGGGAAGATGTCAATCACATCCTAGTAAGCGGACCCACCTGTCCACCCCACCTGCATCAACCCCAAATGTCGGCATGTCGTCAAGGTCTTTTCAATCATATCGCATCCATCCAAACTTTTTCGCCATTCAACCTTGTAGCGCAAGCAGCTCGCATTGTGGTCCAGCACATCATACATATCCACGACCCCCGCCTTCCTTCCATCCAAGTTCTGCTCTGGTAAAACAAGGCAGTGCTAGGTCGTGCCAGAATCATCCATCCATTGCGACATAAAACATCTGCACTCCATCTCGACAACATCATCCTCCCGACGGAATTCGAACCATCACCACCATGGTCCGCCACAAAAAGGACGGCTTCTCCTCACGCGGCGGCAAAGGCGGCCACGGCCGGAACCCGCCCCGCAACAACCCCCGCAGCAGCAAAGGCCCCCGAGACAATGCCGGCAGCGGCGGCGAAGACACCACAGCCAACCCCCACGACCCGTCCACGTCCTCACGCCCCTACCGCCCTCCCTTCAAGGCCGCCTGCTGGGACCTAGGCCACTGCGACCCGAAGCGGTGCTCAGGCAAGAAGCTGATGAAGCTCGGTCTCATGCGCGAGCTGCACCTTGGCCAGCGACACTCGGGCGTCATCATCACGCCCAACGGCAAGCGGGTCGTGTCGCCCGCCGACAAGGAGCTGATGGAGCAGTATGGCGCGGCGGTCGTGGAGTGCTCGTGGGCCCGCACCAAGGAGGTGGAGTGGAAAAAGGTGGGCGGCAAGTGCGAGCGCTTGTTGCCGTACCTGGTGGCGGCCAACACGGTCAACTATGGTAAGCCGTTCCGGCTGAACTGCGTCGAGGCGCTGGCGGCGGCCTTTGCCATCTGTGGTCATTTGGAGTGGGCGGAAGAGATTTTGGCTCCGTTTTCGTACGGCAGGGCTTTCCTGGATATCAACTCGAAGCTGTTCAAGATTTACTCGGCGTGCAAGGATGAGGAGGAGATCAAGAAGGCGGAGGAGGCGTGGAGGGAGAGGCTAGAAAAGGAGTATACTGAGAGCAGAGAGGGAGAGTCGGATGATATTTGGACGACCGGAAACACAAATCGGAGGCCAGCTATGGATGACTCAGATGAGGAGGACGATGACGACGAGGAAGATAGCGAGGAGGAGGAAGACAGTAACGACGAAGACGGCAGCGTAGACGGTATTTACCTCGGCACCAAACCACCGCCCAAACAGAAACAACCAGCCGAAGAGGAGTCAGAGGAAGAAGACAAGGACCCTTTCGCCATATCCGACGATAGCGATGATGAAGCCGAGATGGAGGCCATTCGGCGCAAAATCCTCGCCTCCAAATCGTTTGCCAACCCCGAACCGCCCAAGAAGACGGTCGAGACCATTGCCCGACCGCAAGGGCAGTACAAGCCAGATTCCGATGCCGAGCCGGATTCCGACAATGGGGAGGAGGATGACGAGTTTGACAATATCATTGCTGCTACGCCCATTACCGATAGGATAGGACTGCAGAAGCTGGAGAAGGAGCGGGCGCGGGCTACATTGACAGGCACCTTCTCGTCTGCTTCCATATCTGCACCCAGAGGAGGAAGATAAGAGATTCGATGATGAGGGCACTCGATGAAATCAGGAGAATCATGCAACGAGACAAGGACCATATATAAATGCATTACTTTTTACCCCATGAAGTCATGAAGCTGGCCGTGCTCATTTCCCATCAAACCCTCGATCAATTCATACATGCACTACTATCGTTGACGTAGTTGTATCATGTCGGTCTATACATTGGCAGCTGCTGGTATATACAATACTATCTATATCCGCCATCATCCATCTTTTCCCCCACAGATACCCATCTTCTCATAACTCCAGGATTTGCACAATCGTACATGTATAATAATTTTACAGCAGGATAACAATCCTTTACAGATACCTCCTCTCTCTAATCTCCTCCACAACCTGGATGAGATCTCCTTCCTTGATGTCGTCAAACTCGCCAAACTCGAGACCGCACTCGGTGCCCTTGCGCATCTCCGTAACCTCCTTCTTGCCGTGCTTGACTGAACTGATGGTACCTGTGTTTTGGTTGTTTATTAGCAAAATTGGCAACAAGATAAACCACAAACCAAAGAAATAATAATGATCGACTCACCATCAAAAACAACCTCACCCTTCCTCTGCAACCTCACCCGTCCATTCCTCATCACCATCCCGTTCCTGACCTTTACACCCGCAATGTTCTTGTACTTCCGTCCCTTGATATTAATAGCAAACACCTGCGCCACCTCGGCCTCGCCGAGTACTTTGAACGAGATTGTGGGGGCCAAGCTCTCGCTCAGCACCTGGCGCACCTCCTCGGTCAGGTTGTAGATGATGTTGTGGTCCATGATCCTGACCTTGTTTTCGACTGCCATGCGCTTGATGTGGCCAGGAATGGGGTTGTTGAAGTTAATGATGGTGCTGCCCGAAACCGCGGCGTGCTCGACATCCGATTCGGTGATTTGGCCCGGACTCGACAGTAGCACGCGAGGGCGCACCTCGTTGCTTCCGATCTCCAGGATCGACGCGCACACGGCCTCGACCGAGCCGTGCACGTCGCCCTTGACGGTGAAGTTGATCATCTTGGGCCCATCTGGCTTCTCCTCTGCCGCCTCGGCTCCATCCTCACCCTTCTCAGCCTCCTCGGCCGCGATTCGTTCGGCCTCACGCTCGCGCTTGAGCCGCTCCATCTCCGTGATCTGCTCCATGGCCTCCTCGCGCTCCTTCTGCTCGATGCGATAGTGCACCGCGCTCTTGGCTTTGTCTTCGTTCGGGGCCTGGAGAACCATGTCACCCGCCTCGGGTGGCTCCTTCCAGCCGAGAATCTCAACGGCTGTTCCGGGGGGAGCCTCTTCGACCTCAATGCCCGCTTCGTTGCGCAGGCTGCGCACCTTGGCGAAGACACGGCCAGCAACGATGAAATCGCCGGGACGCAGGGTGCCGCGCTTGACAAGCACGGTGGCCACGCGGCCAATTGGCTTGATACTGGACTCAAGAACCCATCCCTCGGCCATGCCGTCGGGCTCGGCGCGGATGTCGAGCATCTCGGACAGAAGAAGGATGTTGTCCTCGAGATCGTCCATACCTTGACCGGTCTTGCCGCTGACGCAGACAACCTGGACATCGCCGCCATAGTCCTCAATCTCGACGCCGTTGGCGGCCAAGTCGGACTTGACGCGCTCGACGTTCGCTTGGTCCTTGTCGATCTTGTTGATGGCCACGATCATGGGTACCTTGGCGGATCGAGCATGCTTGATGGCCTCGATAGTCTGCGGCTTGACACTGTCGTCGGCGGCGACAACCAAAATCACAATGTCGGTGACGTTGGCGCCGCGCTGTCTCATGGACAGGAAGGCAGCGTGGCCAGGGGTATCCAGGAAGGTGATTTGCTTACCCGAGGACATCTGCACAGAAAAGGCGCCAATGTGCTGGGTAATTCCACCGTGCTCACCGGCTGCGATCGAAGACTTCCGCAGGAAATCGAGCAGAGTAGTCTTGCCGTGATCGACGTGTCCCATGATAGTGACAACTGGTGGCCGTAGGGGTACGCTAGAGGGGTCTTCAGGAGGAGGGCGTGGCCTCAGGTCCTCATCCTCACCAGCGTCGACTGTTGGCTCAAAGCCGTACTCTTGGGCAACCAACGCGGCCGTCTCGCCGGTCATGATGCTATCCTTGGCGATGTCTTCAAATCCGAGTTCTCCCAGTTGGGAGATGAACAGGTCGGTCTTCACGCCAAGGGCCATGCCGAGGTTGGCAACGCTAATAAACTCGGGAAGGAGGATAGGAATAGGGCCAGTCTCCTCAAACTGAAGCCGCTCCTTCTCAGCCTTCTTGGCCAACCTTTCACGACGCTTGTACTCATACGCCATATCATCGAAATCATCGTCTTCGTTGTAGTCGCGCCGCCTACCCCCTTTCTTCTTGGGCTTCTTTTCCTCCTTGATATACCGCGAGGGAATCGGTATCTCTTCCAATGCAACCCTATCGCCTCTTGTTTGTCTTGCATTATCCCTACCCCTGGGCTTTTCAAAGTCTTGCTGCTCCAGCTTCTGTCCTTCCTTCTCCTTAGACTTCCCTTCGTAGTCGTCAGCCCAATCCCAGCCATCCGACATCTGCTTCTTGAACGCCTCGGTGGCCTCCCGAGTGCTCTCGGAAGCCGCCTCAGGCTGCGCTTGAGGTGCTGGACTGGTTGCATATCGATCTTCAGCTTGCTTCCAAAAGTTGCGACTATCTCTGGGCTCCGAACGTTTTTGTGTTTCAGAAGGGGGAGCAGTCTTGACAAAATCGTTATTGCCAGTCAATCGGCCGTTTCCAACGTTTGCCCCGGCTGTACGGCGGATGAGCCCTGCCCATTGCCCCTCGGTTTCACGCGAAGATTTGGAATCCGATGGAGGTGCAGGTGGAGGTGCAAACTTTGATGAAATCGACTGGTAAACCTCACGAGCTGAAGTTCTGCGTGCAGAAGGAGGAGGAGGCGGGGGAGGCGGAGGCTGAGTGGAAAATATGTCATCCCATGCATCTGTATTGTCCGCACGACGCTCCTCTTCCTCGGCGTTCAGCAAGTCGTTCCTGAGAGAACCTGCCTCCTGGCGTTTCCGTAGATCCTTGGCCGAAAGTTGACCTGTCTGTCTATCATGGGCAAAGAGACCATCAGCAAGGCTCTTCAGATTTTTTGCTGGGGCCTGAGGGTAGCTCTGAGCATGTCTTTGCTGTAACCGATCCCTGGCTACTTTTTCGTGGGGAAGAAGTCGTTCTGTCTGAGATTGGCTGGCTGGCTGACTGGAGGCTGAAGAGGCACCCCAGCTGCTTGCTCCCCAGCTGCTTGTTCCCCATTCTCCACTGGCGGGCTTAATAGGCTGGCTGGACGCCGAACTGGCGGCTTCCAAAGCATCCCAGCTGCTTTTCCCCGAAGCCCCATCAGTTTGTTCACTGAGTTTGCTGGCTGGGCCCGGCTTTAATGATGCCCCGTTGGAAAGGCTCGATAGACTGCTGACAGTTGGTTGACTTGGACTTGCTGGAGACTGTGTCGGTCGGCTGGGGGTCGGATTACTAGAAGCCGTTTGACTGGAAGGTGATTCCTTAGGAGCTGGCTGTTGAGTCTGAGGCGCCCGTGCTGGAAAACGTCTTATACCAAAAGGCTCTAAAACTTTGCGGACAGGAGCCTGGTTCCTTTGGGCTTCACGCTCAGTTTTGGGCCCTGGTGTTTCTGTTGTAGGGTCTTGGTTTGGTTGTTTCGGGTGCAGAAGCATCCTACGCACCACAGATCCCTGCTGTTCCTTGCGAGGCGGAGCCCTATTGAACTCGTTTTGTTGACCTTCAGGTAGCCGGCGCACCGGACGGTCACTCGAGGCGCGTTTGGGAGGTTCTGGTGCCGGGTTTCGAGCGGGCTGCGGAGTGGACTGAGCAGCCACAGCGGCCTCGGCCATGCGCAACAAGCGCTGTCTAGCGGCGATCTCGTGAGGAAGCAAACCAGCGTTGGCGGACTTGGGTTGACCTTGTGCCGTTCCTGTTTCGGGTGTCGTTTGAGTGGCTGGGGTCGCAGGGGCGGCCGGTTTCCAGGAACCACCCCATCCTCCTCCTCCTCCTCCTCCTCCTCCGGCGCTCGGTGTCGCAGGCTGTTGTTGGATACCCCAGCTAGGTTTGTCGTCCCACGAAGAGTATACGCGGCGGGTATTCGGATGGATTCGTTGCTGCTGTTGCTGGCGAAGTTGCCATCTGTGGCGGCAGAGCAAACACACAGAGGAAGTGCTCTGCTTCTATTTCCAGTGGTTGTTTCCCACGTCAGCCGTCTATTTGACTTTTACTGACTTTCTGCTTGACGTCGTCGTCATTGAGCAATGCGCGCATTGGGAACCGCACTTACCTGCAACAGTCCGCCCCTCATCATCTTGTTCTATCACAGGGCATAATTTGCCCAGCAGGACCAGACCAGAGAGGAGATAGAACAAGAGCCTGGCGCGACAGCCAAGGTGGAATTTTGTAGGTAACTTACACGGGCGATCCGTTCCGTCCCGCACTTCGCCAGAGCTTCGTTACTGGTGCTGCAGCGCGCAGCGCTTCATAATTAAAGTGGGCACCTGGTGACTGATAAGATAAAACATCATTATGTACTTCCTGTACATGCTTGGTTCAGTTGTGAAGATAGTGAGGGGCAGCTGTCCAGCGAGCAGTTGAGGAATCGGGTTAGGGTTAAGGCAGGTGCTTTTGCCCAGAGGTCGGCTTCATTCAGGGGCTTACAAACAATACAAGGTACGTACCCCGACGTGGACCCTTTTGGCCTCCAGAAATCTGGCCCCAAACCCCAAAGCTTCTTTCCACGAAGCCGCCAACTTCCACTTCCCTCCATTCCTTCACCGTCTTTTTTTTAACTGTCTTCTTTCATTTGTTCGCCAAATTCCCTCATCATCACACCCACATAGTTGCCAAACATGGCGCCAAAGAAAACCAGCAAAGGAGCACGCGGCGGCGGTAGCAGCAGCTCCGGCGGTGCTCTCGAGCCGCCCAAACCCTTCCGCATCGCCCCGGATTCACTCAAGCCCTTCACCTCTGCTCTCTCCAAGAAACATGTCTACATCGCACATGTCGACCAGAAGCCGGCCTCCTTCAAGCGCAAGATCTTTTCTGTGCCGATTATGCTCAACGCCGTCGTCTTCGCCCTCTTCCTTTGGCGCATGTGGTACATCATTCCTTACTACGTGGCGCTTTTGTCTTCCTCGTTCCTGGGCTACGAAAACTCGACAACGATCCGCATGGCCGACCTGACCTATCGGCAATTCTTTGCGGTGGCCGGCCGGCGCACGCTTACGTTTCTGTTTGATTTTGTTCTCGCCGTGTTCGTTTGGCCTTGGCCCATCGAGTTCGTGTTCGGGCGCAAGCACGGCAGTCCCGTGTCGTGGCGGACGGCCATTGGGTTCCGCGACAAGGAGATCTACGTGCGCCGGTCGCGGTCGTGGGACACGCAGGTGTATGGTGTGGATATCTTTTCGGAGAAGCCGCAAGGCAACGAGGCGCGCACGATTCTGTGGGACATGGTTCGCAACGCAACTTCCCCGATGCTGCTGCAGGAGAAGACGGGATACTTGACCATGAACGGGGACTGGGACTTGGATTGGAAGGCTATGGTTAAGGCGACTACCTTGGTGGATAAGAAAGAGATTCCCCTGGACGCGTTCAGGACGCTCGTGCTTTGCCACCATGACAAATTCGGGTGGATTGCGATTGACATGAATGAGTCTGGGGAGAATGCGCAGGAGGCTGAACGCAGGAGGCAGGTTTTTGCGTTCCGTGATGCGCTGACGGCCATCGGAAAGGAGAACCTTTTCTATCGCTGGATCGAGGTCATTCAATTTGAGACCCAGCAAGGCGGCTTTACGCAGGAGCGCCAGATCGAGGTGGCGCAAAAAATTCGGGATCTGTTCAAAGAGAATGGAGTGGACTTTGACGCATTTTGGAAGGAAGCTGTTGGGTCGGATCCCTCCGTTGGGCTATAATGACCTACCTTGAAAGAGGGAAGAGAGGGGTGGAAAAGGCAACGACATATATACATACCATACCGGCTGAGTAGACGGGAACAAGGACAAAATTCACGAGCAACATATAGACCATAATCGCATATACAGGTATACAGGGCTGGACGAATGAAAGGTACCGGAAGAAATTCAAATAAATGCCACTGCAGGTCCGCAGCGGTCGGGGAATGGACGAAGAGATCGAGAAAGAAAACACCATCCTCACTGCCTTCATTTCTTGCTGCTCTTGGCCTTCTTCTGAGGACCAAGGGCTGCCTCACGCCTCTTGGCCTCCTTGGCCTCAAACTGTTCCCTCTTGAGCTTCTCCTGGGCTTCGCGTTCTTCCTTTTCGGCCTATCAAAATCGGAGACTGTTAGCAGCAAGTCCCGTGTGATGTACGATAGCGGAGCAACAACAACTGTGCCACATACCTGTTTCCTAGCAGCCTCCTGCTCTCTCTTCTCACGAATGAGCTTCAACCTCGCGAGATCGGCCTTGGCCTGATCCGTCTTGCCGGCCTCATGAAGCTTCTGATACCTCTCCTTCGCCGCAGCCGCCGCAGCCGCCTCACGCTCCTTCCTGTTGCCGGGTGCCGAGTCCGCTATGCTAAGCTTCTTGGCGCGGCTAGCGACAGCCTCATCATCCGATTCCTCCTTGGCGACGGGCTTCTTGGTCTGGTTGCGCGCAGCCTTGGAGTGGTTGGGGTTGGCGGGCATGGGCGCGTCGTTGGCCTCATCCTCGCTCTCCTCCTCCGAGTCGCTAGGGGGCAAGTCGCCAACCTGCACCGCGGCGGCCTTGGCGCGCGCGATGGCTGCCTCCTTCTTCGCCTTCTTTTGTGCTTTGAGTTCCTCGCGGGTCAGCTCAGCCTTGGGGGCCTTGCTAGAGGGGCCGGCAGCCTCGTCCTCGGAAGACTCCTCCTCGGAGGATTCCTCCTCGGATTCAGACTCCCTGTTCTTGCCGCCGCCGGCGCCCCACATGCTGACTTCGTTGCCATCGGCGTCGAGGGGGCGAAGGTCGCGGGAGAAATGGTGGCCACCTGGAAGGAAGGTTGGTGGTTAACAGACAGGATTGTGGCAGGTAGGGAAAGTACTGCTCCGGCAGCATCTGTGTTATTAACATACCTCCACGAGTGTACTTCTTGAACTTGCCGCCACGTCCACGACCAGCCGGGCCACTACCGCCTGCCATTTTGTCTTTGATCTTTGGGGGTATAGGATGGTTTTGTTTGAAAAGTTGGTTATCGACGGATTTCCGGTCGAGTGTCGTGGGTTTTTAAGAAATTTATTCGAATCGCGCGACGAGTCGCAGGAATGGGTGTAACTACCAAAAAGGAAGTCGAGCTCGATGAGTCTTACAACAATGCAACAGAACGGCACAGCCTTTTCCTCGAGTTTGTCGCAGAAAGTTAATGGGGCTTCTTGAGTGGGAAGACATCCACCTCCGACTTGAGAATCAATGCCCCGCAACACATCCCTCTACAGTATGAGGCAGGTACCCGACGTACAGTATGTACACCCTGAGCGTTAGAGGTCTCGGTATGTTCATTGCTCACTGCAACACTGGCTGCAACGCAGGCTTACCCAACCGCCTATCTACGAGTCATGATTGGCCAGCTCTCTTATCTCACCATAACTCCACTGCAAGCTACGAGGTCAGTGGCTAGGTTCCACCAATTCTTGCGCTTCGTGGGCTGTGAGGCGGTGCAGCCCGGCAGCTACAGAAGTGGCTTGCGTTTGCTTTAAAAGTCTGTCTCGGGTCGCCCAATTTTGAGATTCTTCTTTTTCTTCTTTTTTTTCTCTTCACAACACATAAAACATATGTTCCTTCATATTCACTCCGGTTTCCGTCTACTGCAATGACATTCTGGAGGGGAAAGTGGAGGATAGAAGAGAATTTTTCAAGCTCTTACCCTCTACCTTTGTTCTTCTCTGTCGAGGAGTAGAGAAATATTTTGCCTGGGACATTTCCACCCACTTCGCAAACTCTTGTTATCTGAGAGTATCTGCCATCGATTTACCTGCGCACCTTAATCTGTCGTGATCTACTTGTCGCTGACGCGCGCATGTTGAAAACCCGATGAGCTGATGTTCTCATGTAATGCACTTGTCTTGATTACTTACTCATACTGTAGTGTCGAGGTCCGAACATTCATACCCGTTGCGCTCGTGCACATGGCATCGCGAGACGCAACCGGTAGACTGTCGGATTTGGGTGCCCTTTGACTCGGATGACCACTTCGACGGGCGACCATGTCGATCCTTTAAATGGAATGTCCATGGCACATGTGTCACAAGCTGTTCCACGACGCTTTGGGGTTGTTAAAGGCCGACGGAGGCTTCGGTTCATTACTTATCACGGACACAACGTAAGGTTGCCATAACTTCATTTTGCCGATGTATATTTCTTTTTTCTAACCACGCCTTCAACGCCTTCCCTTTGTTGAATGTGAAACATGTTCAAGGTGAATTTCTGCTGCGTCGGACTTTCTCCCTGTCAGCGCATGCCAAAAAAAAACATGATGCACTACACCGACATGAGTTCGACTGCCAGCGTAGCTTAACTCGGAACAGAGAGACCCCAGCAATACGTTCTCAGCATCATCGTCATGAACGCCGCATAGTACTTACAAAGAAGCTCACATATGCCAGACGACTGGCTGGGAAAACGTAGCAAAACAAGAATTTTCGAGTTCCACAAGTCAACTCTCAACTACCCAACTTGATAACCACTACTCTACTTCCATCCGTCTCTCAAGCTTTTCAACCCCCAACGCATGACCTTTTTGGTTTAATGACCCTCCTTTTCCAGAGCCTCCAGCTCCTTAATCACAGAGCCCTTGGTGGCGATCTTCTTCAACTGGGTATCCTCCAACTTCTCACCACCAGCATGTCTCATCTCGAGATCCTCAATAGCGCGGATCTTCTTCTGGAGAGACCTGATCTTCTTCGCATTGGCGCTCTGGGCAGCCGCTGCGGCGGCGTCAACGACTGGGGCAGCCTGTTGAGCAGGCGCATTGGGCTGGCGCACGTTCGAGCGGCTGCGGTGGTTGTTCTGAGTGCGGACAGCCAGGTTGTTGCTGCGCGACTGGCTGCGCGAGTGGTGACGCTGGTGGTTGCGATCGGGGCTGCGGCCGTCGACAGACTCGCGGGGAGGGGCAAGACCACCCTCGTTAGGAGTAGTCACGCCCTCGCCCTGTGCCTGGCCCTCCTTGGCCTTCTTGTTGCGCTTCTTCTTGTTCTTCAGGGCAGTCTTGGACAAGTTCTCATCGTCCACAGCGGCGCCGGGAACAGAAGGTCTCGCTGGCTCGGCAAACTCGGCGCCAGGAATCTGGCGGCGCGGGCGGCCGAACCCATTAGGACCGACCTGAGGCACGCCATTGCTAACCGAGTGGGCGGCACCTCCCTCGTCCTCACGCTTGAAGTGAAGAGGAGTGGAAGAGCCACGGGCGCCGGGCGGGCGGTAGGCACCGACGGGCTTGGAAGGCGTCTTGACAGTGCCAAGGTATGCCAAAGCCGAAGGGTGAGGAGTGGGCACGGGGTGCAGCGGGTCAACGTTGGGGAGGTTGTTAGCAGGAACAGGGCGCCAGATAACGTTGTACAACTCAACCATGTCCTCGTTGTACATGATACCGCCACCAACGTGCCAGAGCTTGATGCCGTTGTCGACACGAAGACGGGGAGAAGTAGTGGCCGTCAAGATGTAACGGCTGTCAGGAGACCAGGTGCAGACACTGGGGTTACCGCTTTCGATGGTGGTGATCTTGCGATAATCCTTCTCAAGGTCGTAAACATCGATCTGACCAGCCAAGTTACCGAAACCGGCAACCAAGGCAAACCGGCCAGTAGGCGAGAATATGATGGTGTTACGGGGGCCAAGAGGGAAGGAGTGGGTGGCGACGGCGCGGTGGTTGAAGATGGTGGTTTTCGCGGGCATGTAGCCGTATACGACACCGAACTCCTTGGAGTTGGGGGACCACGACACATCGTGGATAGGGCCCTCCTTGTCAAGAGTGACGCGAGCGTCGAACGAGCCGTTGGCGCTCAGGAGGTACATGTTGGTCTCGCCATAGTAGCTTTTGTTGGACTTGTCAACCTCTGTTTGCGCCAGCACAATCAGAGCAGTTCCGAGCTGGTTCCACTTGAGCTGGACTTTGTCGGCCTTGAAAAAGGTCTTTTGCGAAATCGGGCTGGTGAACTGGGGAACGTTGAAGACCTTGACGGAGGCGGGATGTCCCTGTAACCAAGAGTTAGACGTTGATATAGAAAAGTGCCATGCATACGGGAGATCAAGTAACGTACCTTGCGCTCTGGGACGAAAACAGCAACGTTCTGGTTCTTGCCGGGCGCGAGGGCAAAGTCGGAGACGCCCTCAACGCGCAGCTTGTTCCACACGGTGCCGAGATCGTTGCTGTTGTAGAACTGGACCTCGTTGGTGACGATGCGCGCGCAGAAGCGCTCATCCTCCGTGTACTGCAGGTTCCAGCCATTAGCAGACTTTTGGACGAACTTGCCAATGGGCTGCTTCTCAGCACCATCGGCGAGCTCCTCGATGGTGCGCCAGATCTTGAGATTCTTGGTAGCATCGCCATTCTCATCCTTGGCGGGGCGCTCCCAGGTGCTCAAGTAGGTACCGTGGGGGGAGAAGCTGAGTTCGTAGACGGCAGGGATGGGCAGCGAAGTCAAGACGTGGCCGACGGTCGCGTCGACGATGACGACGCCCTCGTTAGTGGCGTAGGCAAAGTAGCGGCCGCATCCCGAGTAGACACAGCACCGGAGATTCCCTTCGGGCTTGGTGAATCCAGGAAGGGCTTCGTAGACAGGGTCGGCATCAAAGACGCCGATGGCCTTCTGGGTTCGGTAGGCGAGCTGCAACGGATTGGCCATGACTAGCGAAAGTCACAGGTGATCGTGGTTTGCAGAAAGCGGTGTAGGATTCGTTTCGTTACCTGGCTCCTTTTCCCGGGGGACTGGAGTCGTCGCTGCGAGCAAGAGGCGGACCTTTTTTTTCGGTGTTCGAAACGGGTCACGCTTGATGTCGAAGCTGCGAGAGGCGGAGCTCGTAAGCTTTGGTTGTGTGTTGGCGAAGGCGGAGTTGGGGGAGTATCGATCTGGCGCAACACAACAATGGTGATTGCGCAAAGGTAGAAACTCGACTAGCACTAGCAGCAGAATTCGACAGTGCAACACAAAGCGACGCTTTTTCTTGCTGAGTCCTAGGTGGTGGTGGAAAGCGACTCAGGGACGGGGGGGGGCGGGAGGCGGAAGATATCAGATCTTGAATCGCAGGTTGCCAACGAAGGGAGACCGTGACGATGGGACAACAATGCGATGTTGCTTTGGACGACGGCGAGGAACAAAGGGCACACGCCGTGGTGGAGATCCAAGAAGAATAAAAATCGACCGAAATCAGGAACGTGAACGATGAAGAGAAGCACCCTCAGGGAAGGAATTGGCAAAGGCGGTGCGAGTGTGGTTGACGGGGGGGAGAGGAAAAAAGAGGGGAGAGGTGGGTTAGGAGAAAGGGAGGAAAAGTAGGACAATGGAGAATGGCAGAGAAGGTGGACGCGAAGAAAGTTACGATACGGACGCGGTTCCACAGGTATCGTGGTTTCGGTTTTTTTGGTTTTTTTCCATATCTCTTACCTACACTTTTTTTTTTTCCTTTTCTTTCAACATCTCACTGCAACATCGATATTCAGTTGGGCATTGGCACGGGCACTGGCCACCCGACCAGCAGACGGGAGCTAAGGGGACCTGGGCAATATGACCATAGAATATACACTACAAAAACACCTATAGTCCAGCAAGGCGGCGCGGGCGGAGTCGTTCGCCTTCCGTCTGGGCGATCTCTAACTTTTTTGGAGGCTTCATGCATTTCGAGGTCGCGGCGGTTGTCCGTTCGCTGATTCAGACCTCTGCCACACGGACCTCCAGATTGGCAGCGGAGGACCTCGAGGGGACCGAACATTGAACGGCGGAGCCCCGCCGTGGGGCCGTGTTCCCTTCAGACTGTCTCGGTGACATTGGGTGACAGTCGTTAGTGACCGTACCCGTAAGCCCCGTAGGGACCAGGGCGAGCCTATCAGATGTTAACGGGCCCTATCACGGCGGCCAGCCGATCTCCAACACCCCCAACAGGTTGCGGCCCCCGGTGTTCTAGGCTTTGTGGTCCCTTGTTTGAGCCGCGGCAAGGGCCAGTCAGCGGCGCGCCAAGTTACGACCAAGGCCCCTGCCCGATTTGCCTTTTCGTCAACGTCAACGTCAACGACGCAGGACACCCCGACGACGCTCAGGACAAGAGACATCGGACCGGGGGCGACGTCCACCACTGCGTTCTCTGCTCAACCTGCCATCCCAACAGAGGTTATCCATTTTTCAGTTATGCCCTGTTCCATTCAGTTTCGTCGCCACTACCTAGGTTTACTCGATGCTCCATCGCACGAAAGTTACACCCAAGTGAAACTACCAAACTCCAGCTTGGTCGTTCCTGAAGAACACTTTCAGGATACACGCGCCATCACTTACCGCATGTCCTGCCAAATGGAAGATGCTGTAGAGATAGTGATACCCTTCTTGATGGCTGGTGCTGTCCTTCACGTTAGGTACCTCTATACTACTACCTCTTAGGTTCAGACGTCCAAGCGATTCCAATTGTGATACACATCCTAACCAAGAGAGCCACAGTACGGTCCTCTTCGTCTCTTCGCGAGGTATTGTACAAACGATGCTACCACGCGGTCTATCTCATCTGCTTTCCATGTCTTCCGCTTGCCTCCCGTATACATCGGTCCCTTTTTTTGTTTCCTTTCTTGTTTCTATCCCCCTATAATGTTGTTTCCCCACATAACCTACACACGGCAGTTGTTTCCAGCTTTAGTCACAGCACACCAACACAGTCTCGTTGAAGCAATCCGGGCATGAGCAATTGCTGGCTGGAACAGTCCAGGTGTTTTAGGCACGCTATATGATAAATTCTATGTCAATGAATACGTGACAAAGCCGACAGTTTCCAGTTTCCTCCGTCTATCAAGAGAAAGTTGCGGCTGCCTGTGTGGTGACCGTCGATGGAGTCCGGATGAGGACTAACTGAACGGCATGAATACTGCATACCTAACACGGAGGTATCGATGTCAAGCATGGGAAGAACGGGAAGAGCTGTCGATTTGCTGCAGGCAAGTGCGAATTGCTGTACTTCGATGTAAGTACAGGGCAGGTAGGCAGGTATGGAGGGCTAAACTGTCTCGGTGCCGATGTCCCAACCGCACCTTCCTCGTTGCATGGAGAGCCGCATTTGGGTTTGGGATCATGAGGTGCAACTTCCACTTGCTGTTCTTCCATTAAGTAAGAAGCCTTCGTTGTTGGGGCTATGACGAATACTGTACGCAGCTCGTCTCAGCAACATCATTCTCCGTTTTCTTCCAGAAAACCTCACTTAGACGTACTCCATTGGCCCAGGTATGTCCTCCTTCGTCGCCATGTTAGAGTTTCGATGGACAAATCATTGACTTGGCCGGCCACAGGTTATCTGTTCTCGGTATTCCTTATAGCTGCCATTGGAAGTTCGTTCAGTGCGAACTTAGAACTGCGCATTCGAGGAGTGAGTATCGAGCATCTTGATGCTCCATCTTCACTTTGGAGGGTTGTCAGCAGACATCATCGTTTTCTGAACATCTCCGTCTGGATATCGTTGTTCTTGGTTGGTTTACGTCCAAGCCAAGGACAGGTTCAAATCATGCAAAAGGTCGAACAGGCTGAAAATCGAAACGAGTCAATACGTTGTCAAAATTTCCGGTCAGGTAACTTCGACTTACAGCTTACGGCCCGCAGCAGAGGTCCAGCGGTGACAACCAGACACGGTATCTGAGGCGGGAGGAAACAAATTTACAAGCAGTTGTGTCACCCGCGTCCTCTGTCAGCGCGTCGGTGGTTCGGCACGGGGTTTTTGACGGACCTTACAAAGTCGCCCGGAGCCGTTCCCTAGGTGACTGCAACTTGAGGGAAACCATCCCTTCACCTCCAGGCATCCGCCTTTGCCACGTTTGCGCCAGCTTTCCATCGACCGCCTTTGCTTGCATCTTCCTCCTCACCACCCCACCACAATTCCAAACCTTCACTTGAAACTTATTCAGCTGATAGCGACCTGCAGCATTGCAACTGAACTACACGCTACTGAAGCCGTCGAGCAGTTGACGTATTCACATCCCACGCTCCCCAGACACACCAGAGTCGTAATGGAGTCCTCTCGTGCATCGGAGAGAAGGCGCTGCTGTGCAATGACGCCTCTTGGCTTCTCGCGGTCTCCCAGCAGCTCTCCTCTCGATGATTCTGACCTCGAAGACGAAAACAACGACACTCTCGGTAGAGCTAACGCGTGGGTCGATGTTGACGCGGTTTTCCCCCCGGCGCCGGCCACTTCACCGACGCGAGGCGATGATGAGCTTGCCGACGTTGGAATGGCCCGCCTTCCGGCTCCCCACCCCTCTGTCGAACATGACGAGAACAGTTTAAAAACTGTCGACAGCGCGGATTCTACCCCGATTCCAACCAGCGTGCGATCGAAAGGTTCCAAGAGTAATGCCGATCTGGGCGGCTATTATTTCAGACAGGTTATGCACCTCCTTGAGAGGAAGCACCAGGACATCATGTTCTATGAAGACGTTGAGAACCACAGCATCATGCATCTGGATTGGGCAAGCGAAGTTGGAGACATCCAAGAGACTCAAGCTTCCCGCAACCACAAATCTGAAGAGGGGACTGGTCTTGCTTCTAAGCTGGAGGTAAGTGTCACAAGTAAACTAACGAGACTCTTCTTCCACGCAGCCTTGGCCCATATGGAGTCACTTGCTAACATGTTTTCCTTGACAGTGGGGCAAAACCCTGTTCTTCGGTGACTGGTTATATGCCGACAACGGCCAGCGACAGTATTACATGGAGATCCAGATCAAGCACGTCTCTGGTGATGATGACACCGTCATTCGAAACTTGGGAATGAACCCCAACGAAGTTTGGATTGGTATGGGATGCGCCAAGGACACTCCGGCCCCGGGTGGTGATAAGCGCTCGCTTTCTTCGAACAGCAGCAAAATGTCTGCTGTGCAGCCTAAGAAGCTTCTTCTCTCGTCACTTGCCGGCACCCATTCTGGGTTTCCTCGCAGTCCCTCAGAAGAGCGTGGCAGCGAGGAGCTTGAAGACATTGCGACACTGGCCTTGGCTAAGATGAGCAGGCACAGACCTTTGCCGACTACTCCTACCAACACCTCGTCGTCTGCACACAACAATCATGGAGATGCTACCCCCAAAACTGTTCACGTCGGATCCGAAGATATCGACCTCTGCAGCCCTACTGCCACTGTCAACTCTCCCTCTGATTCTCGTTGGACTCCACTCAACTTGTCTAGTAGAATCGCAGCCACCTCCAAGTCTGAACAAGACGTTGCGGCCGGCCCGTCAACAGATCAAGCTCCGCCATCACCGCGTCCAGCTTTCGCGCAACTCTTTGGTTCAAGATCGCCCCAGCTCGACTCTAATCGCCCCATCGGCACAGGCATTCCCCGCAGCAAGCCCCTTGTTCCTCATAGCACCAGCTTTGACAGCATCGATGATGAGGGCGACATCACCATGAGCGATGACAATGTGGGTGAAACCGGAGATAACGGCGGAGGCGAAACCTATGAAGGTGACACTACCCAAAGCGAGATCGTCATTCCCGGGACTCCCTCGCGTTCACCCTCCCCTCCGTCTTCTCCCGTAAAATATTCGCCCGACAGCGATCAACATCAGATGGCCGAATCCTCAACTTCCAAGGAGAACCAGATCTCTCGGGACACTCATCAGTCACTTAGGGATTCCTTTACTCCCGGCCACAACACCCTCAACCGCCTGTGCACTCCTGAGCTGAACGGTTCCTTTGCCGCTCGCAAGAAGCGCTCCTCTATCTACACAGTCCGCGTGGTAGCCTTCTCCACGGAGGAATCTCAAAATGAGAACGGCTTTAGCGGACCACCTTCTTCGCAACGACACGCCACTCTGCTCGGTCACGGTGGATGGGTTTGCCCACCCTTTGAGGAGCGCGTGGCCAAATGGATGGCTGACTACGGCCATTTGCCCCTTAGCTGCTCCGCCATTCCGGAGCACGAGAAGAAGCAGCACAACAACCCGCCGCAGACACGCTGCCGTGCGCTGCCGGTCATGTTTGACTCGTCCGTCGACGACCCGCCGAGGTACTACGGCGAGCCGGCGCCCGTGTGGTGGGAGCTTGGCGATCCGTGCCTTGAAGACGTGTACTGGATGGTCTGGCAGCTGTTGAGCGGCAAGCAGTTCATTGGTTTCAAACGCGGTACCGGATTCGGTTTCCCGAGAACTCATACCAGCGGCGACGATGCACTCTTGGAGAGATGCCCGTTTAAAAGTCCGAGCGGAGAGGCTGGGGTTGGAAGTCTGGTCAAGGGGGAGGAGATCAGGCTGAGAGAGATGCGTGCGGATCAGGAGAAGAAAGAATGGGAGGGCATGGTGAACCTTAAGGGGGGCAAGGAGTAGATGATGAGAGCTAGAAGGGTAAGAAAGGGGGAGTGAGGCTTTTGTTTGGAGAACTAAGGAGGTTGTAAACCGTTTCTGTTCGGTCCATGCCTTGCGAGTCTCGTTTAAAACTACCTAGGGTTCTTTACTGGCTCTGTTATGCATAAGTGCACGCAGAGCATTAGGGTCTGGTTTGGAGGGGGTTCTTTCTACTCGTTTTCATTTTTGCTCATTACAGCGGCTCTTTCATGTTCCCTCCTATTCTTTATGAGCGAAGGCCAGGCGTTACGGACACTTAGTCTGGGCAGGTCAGATGGATAGTCACTTGGCGTACAAGGCTCGGATTTGGACTGGATTCTTCTCGAAGGCTTTGGCATCATAAAGCTGAGAGCTACGAAGCCATCAAGGAGCGGGCTTCGGTGATTAGATGCTAGTGCTTTGTATCTGCATCTGGAGTTTCCAGAAGGGAAGGATAACATCGGTTAAGCGTCAGGCTAGAAGGTAGAAACTGTAGTAAAAATGTGTTATTATCGTCTAAAGAGTTTCAAACGAGACGGAGAAAAGTCACTTTGCGCTGTGGCGTATGTTTCCATTGAGATTAGGAACTGTACCGTACACCAAACAAACCATCAACTGCATACAATGAATAAGCCTTCACTAATCGACGGTTCTTTGTGAATGCACTCTTGTGATTGAGGAATACGCATCGCTTCCAACGAGAAGAAACTCTGTATTAACACTTATATGAGAAATCCCGCTTCAACATGGCAACTTCAAGTCATTTCTCAATCTTCACAGCCTTACTGCCCATCGGACTCTTCGATCAAACTGTTGAGCAGGGTTCTTTGTCCATTCACATACTGCAGGTTCGTCCCGTATAACCCTCGTTTTGTCTCTGTGATCCCCTCAACCCCTGTACCCTGCGAACTATTACTATTTACCCCTGAGCGCAACACCCATGCTTTGTTTACATACCTTTTGGTCTGGGATCCCTGCTTGCTTTTTTTGTGCAACAACAAAATGATGACAACAGCTTGTCGACGAGTACGTAAAACCAGACAAAGATGTTCCAAGGATACTACTTAGCCCCATTGAGATAAATGTCGTTCAGTCCACGATTTGTGCATTGTATTGCGTTTTACCTACAGTAGAAGAAGTGCGTACCCACACCTCTTTTTCTATGCACTCTGTCTGTAACCTTTGAGATTCCCGAGTTTAAAAGATACAAGAGGACAGTCCCCTACAAGATGGAATGCTTTGTCACTTTCAGTGCCTTCGAGAATGGAAATGGGGCGTGTTTTCTATTTTCTGTCTTTTTTTGGATACCAAATTGACAAACAACCAGGGCTGGATGGTAGTTTTATAGTTCATACGTGCTTTGGCATCGCATGGGGTTCTTGCCGACGGCGGGCGGGTACCTACCTTAGCGTAAAACCGTCATGACGTCAACTCGTCCATCTGACTACAAGTATGTAAACTCCAAAAAAAAAACC